TCAGCTCATGCCTCGTCACCTCAGCAGTCAAGAGCATCTTCCCTTGCGCAAGGTCGGCGTTGGTCATTCTCATCGCATCACATTCTGCATGGAACTGAGCGGCAGGAGGAGCAGGAGGAGCAGGAGGAGCAGGAGGAGCAGGAGGAGCAGGAGGAGCAGGAGGAGCAGGAGGTTGAGAGCTTCGCACCAGATCTCAGTTGAGTCACTTGTACTTGCAGCTTGCTCAGCTCCGCGAGGGTCTGCGAGGGCCTTCAGCTCAACCCCCGCCGGTTTCAAACTCTCACGCTCTCGTCTGCCCTCCTCCTCGAGAGCTCCAGCTGGTCCTGCAGGTTCCTCACCATGGCCTCTAGCTGAGCATTCTGAGACTCGAGGATGCGAGCCTTGGCTGCCGACATCTCCCGGGGGTCTCCTCCTCTCCTCTCCTCTCCTCTCCTCTCCTCCTCCCTCGCCTCTCCGTCTCGTCTGTCTCCTTCAAAAGGTCACCGAGACCAGTAATAAGAGCAAACTTACTCTGGCCGTCTCCTCCTCGCACCTCCCATCCCTCCCACCTCAAATCTCCCACCGAACGCCCTGAAGTGTTTCCCTGCTCAGTCGAAGTGAACCTTCCGACCTGCAGCAGCGTTACCGACGTGACGCCAAGCCTCGCAGTCCTCCCCCTCATTTCTCTTCTCCTCCTTGACCCCTCTCCCTACTCCTCTCCTCTCCGCCTCCTGCACATTCATCTCATCTACTCATCTTCTCTCACATCTTCCATCCTGTAGGCAGAGTTGTTTCCTTCATTTCTCCTCGCGTACTCGCCAATTCCAGCTGTCATGTTGCCAGCATGCTAGCAAGAAGTTGAGACACAAGGCAAGGTGGTCGCCCTTACTACGTTGGCTGCCTTCCAGGTGGAACCAGCCTGGTGACGAGAATCAAGCAAGAACGGGGAGATCGAGGAGAAGACAAGAGAGCAGTACAGCGTGTTGCAGGTTCCTGGTGGAAGAAGGGAGAAGAAGCTCGGACGACTGCTAGCGGTCAATCCTATGAAGAGGAAGAAACGAGACGAACAGGATGAGAGGTGAAAGCGAATGATGTGTAAGTCGGAGGAAGGAAGCCTGCCAACGACACTGATGACTGATCAGAGAACAGCATCAACAAAAGCTTCACCGTCTGTGTTGTCACCAGCAGGAAGAGCTTTGCTTGGCCTCGTGCCTCGAACTGAAGAGATGTTTCGGCTGATCGCCATGTGGGAGAGAGCAGGCGGCTAAGACACCTGAAGACTTGATGAGATGCGACAGGTGGATGAGGTGGCGACAGAAGTGAGGAGCGAGAGAGAGGAGGAGGCAGAAGAAACGATGGAAGAGATCACAAGGGAAGGTAAGAGGGATGTAAGGATGGAGGTAATTTGGACACATTATGAAGGATGGGAGTACTGCAAGTGACGAGATGATCACGAGCGAGATGAGGTGTATATGTGCGTATGTGATGTGAAGAGCAACGAGATGAGGTGTATATGTTGGTATGTGATGTGAAGAGCAACGAGATGAGGTGTATATGTTGGTATGTGATGTAGTAGTATTGGTATGTGATGTATATGAAGAGCGTTGGTATGTGTGTATCTTCCTCTCAAGCGACAGCGGGAATTTTGACTAGGCAACGGTCAAACGAGTGAGACAAGCGCGCCTCAGCATCCTCAGCTCTTGCTGTCCTTCTAGAGAGTCTTAAGATGCTCTGAGGCAGGCTTGTTGATAGCTACCAGTATCCCACTGAGACCGTCATGGCAGGGCTCCGGTGAAGCTTGGAAGCGGGCGAGGGCGCGATGGGGAGGAGAGAGGAGGAGGAGGAGGAGGAGGAAGCGGCACGACCTGACCTCACTGCTGAGGAAGAGCAGTCTCTGAGCCCAGCGACTGGCAGAGACGAGCCGGGAGGTCAAGCGACGCTTGTGGTGAAGGTGCTGGAGGGGAAGGAGTTGATGGCAGCGGATAGATCCGGGACGTCGGATCCGTACGCCATCGTTGAGTATGGACGTGCGAAGAAACAAACACGAACTGTGAAGAAGGATTTGAATCCTGAGTGGAACGAAACTTTCTACCTGGACTTCAACGCAAAAGCAGAGAAAGTCTCGATAGAAGTGTACGACTATGACTTGATTGGGAGCCACGACTTTCTGGGGCGAGTGGAGATAAGCATGAGTGAGATGAAGATGGAGGCAGTGGTTCAAGACTGGTTCGACCTCAAGGTGACGTGCCTTCACTCACTCGCTGGATTTGACCCTACGCAGCCTCGTCCCTCGAAGAACGAGATCGTTTCTGGGAGCCTTCACCTGTACCTCGCCATAATCCCCAAAGACAGAGAAGCCGATCTGAATCTGGGATTGGATGCTCATTCATGGCTTGATCTTGACTCCTTTCGAGCTAAGGGACATGAAAGAAAGTATCACACCATCCGGATGTACTTTGCATCGACCTTTGCTGATTTTCAAGTTGAGTTTGAATCTCTGTATACGAGTGTATTTCCAAAGCTCTCTACTCTATGTCAGTTGCATGGGTACGAGTTCATTCCTGGTAGAAGCTTGTGAGGCAGATCAAGAGCTGACTTGGACTGCAGTGGTCATGCGGTACGGCATGGATGAACGGATGGATAAGATGTATGCTCTCGATCCTCGGGTAGCTAGACTCTGCTTCCATGAGATCGCAGAGTGCAGGAGGTACTGCTGGCAGTTTCACTCGTTCTGTCTTGAAGCCTCCTCTCTCTCCCAGGATATCCCCCCGAGCAAACTTCTGCGCTTTGATTGGAGATAGATACGGGTCGTCACCGCTTCCCCCGTCCTTGGACAAGAACGAGTACATGGCCATCTTATCTCACGTGGAGGAGCAGAAGGAGGAAGAGCTCTACCAGCTCCTGGAGAGATGGCACGAAATGTTCATGCCTCTCGCTCGCCCTCTGAACCTCTGCAGGTATAAGTTGGACGAGAATCAGTCCCCCAACCGGGTGCTCCTTCAGAGCGCGGACGGCAAGATCTCACCTTCCGCCGGCCCTGGAACTTCTGAGCACAAAGAGTGGGAGAGCATCGAGAGAAAACTGTTCGAAGGTCTTTACAAGAGCTCAAAACAAGTGCTGTTGGTGACAATCCTAGAGCGAATGTGATTGTGTTGATCAGGTACTTGCTTCCTTCCGAGTCGAAAAGTATGAGATTTCTTTGTTTGAACAAGTATAGGATATTGTTATGATTGTGTTTTGATTGGATATCAATGGTTGTGATAGGAACTGTCACTTGGAATCCTACTACCAGAGGATTCAGCAGAGCACACACTATGCGTGATTCGATCGGTTTCAAACATGCGAATAGTCAATACGAATGCAGCAAAATACATCGATGTCGCCAAGAGACGCGGAGACAGCATCGTCAATGAGTTGAAGGAGGTAGAATTGCTTCGTGCGCTGACATGGCACTGAAAGTGTTCAGATTCGACCTGAGATGGTAGACGAGTCTCGTAGAAATCAAATGATCAGATTGAAAGAACGGATTGCAAGAAAGATTGGAAACAGGCATGTTCTCAATCATCTTCTCAATCATATTCTCAATCATATTCTCAATCAACTTCTCAATCAACTTCTCAATCAATTTCTCAATCATCTTCTCACAGTCTATCTGCTTTTTCATGTGCCCGCAGTCTGACAGCCTTCAAGGTGTCTGCCTCTCGTGGGTCAATGGCAGGGATGGACCATAGGCAGCGAGCACATCCAAGAATTGTGCGAGTCAGTCTACGAAGGTCTGCGCCCAGTGCTGGTGCAGGTGGTCGCGAGCTCAGGGCGGGAGGGTCTGCCTGACGGCGAGCAGGAGATGAGAAGATACCCGAGGTACAGCCTGCGGCGAGAGGAGGTGTGGGAGCACAAGCAGCAGCTCAAGCTCTGCCTCGATGAGATGGTGAAGGCACCCAGACATGCGCCGGCGCTGAGCTGAAGACGCAGGAGCGACGAGAAGGGAAGGTGATGGAGAGAACCTTGGATTCGCTCCTTCGATACCTGAGAAGGAAGAGCGACGGCAACCTTGCGCCTTGCTTGCTCTACGGCTGCGAAGGAAGCGGTCACTCATCAGGTGATAGCAGATGCTGTTGCTGACAGCGCGGACAGGAATGTCTTCCATGCTCGCCAACGTGGCGAAGTGGGCGAAAGAAGAGCTGTCGATAGGATTAGTTCAAGTCTACAGAGACGTGGGGAGGACGCCGGACTCTCTCAACGGGTGAGCGCAGGAATGAAAGGATGGTCGGTGAAGGCGAGGCAGGTTGAAGCTGCTGCACTCGCTGATGGAGGAGATGAAGCTTGCGTATCAAGCCTCCTCTGACTCCTCCCTCAACGTCTCTCTCCACGTGCTGGAGGGCAAAGACCTTCCCGCTGCTGATCGCGGGGGGACGTCGGACCCCTACCTGGAGGTGAAGATAGGGGACAAGACCGTGACTACCCAGATCCAGATGAAAACTTTGAATCCCGTCTGGGATCAGAAGTTCTACTGGGAGAACGTGAGGCTCACTGATGTCATTCAGGTGAGCGTGTGGGATTATGACAGGTTCTCCAAGAACGATATGATCGGAACTTGCGAGATCAGCCTCTCCTCTTTCGAGCTCAACATCGTCAAGGACAGATGGTACTCCGTAGATATGAATAAGCAGGAAGAAAAGAAGAGGCAGTACGAGTACGACATCAATGTCAAAGTCATCGAAGCTCAGAATATCATTCCAAGAGCAAATCGAATGGATGTCGATCCGTACATCAAGTTGACGCTGGGAGATCTTGAGGGAAACACTGAGCATAAGAATGACAGTCAGGACCCTGTTTTTGACGAAGAGTTCAGCTTCAAGGTGAGTGCTGAAGAAGACCTGACGATAGAGTTGTGGGACAAGGGTCTCCAAGACTCTCAAGACGTTCTCATGGGGTCTGTGGTGGTGCATACCACTGAGGTCGCTACTGATGCTCCCTATGAAGACTGGCTCGAATTTCTAGACCGAAATGCACGTGCGATCGGAAAATTGCACGTGGTGATCAACAAGAAGCAAGAAGAGATGGAGGAGGAGGAGGAGGACGTCGATAGTGGACCTCGCGTTCGATTCGTCGTCACTGTCTCCTCCAACACTGACAACTTGGAGGCGATGCTGGACGGCGGACCTGTGGAGGTGCCTTGTACCTACCTGGAGATGTGCGAGGCGTTCAAGCAGACGATCAGCAAGGCAACAGCCTCCAAGCCCCTCCTCCTCATGCTCGACGGCCTCGACCGTCTCAGCGAGAAAGACTCCGTGACCTCCATGCGCTGGATGCCTCCTGTCTTGCCGAGGTACGTCCATGCCGTCTTCACGCTCAACAAGACGGCAGTCGACAATCATGCGCCCGTGTATAAAGTGCTGAAGGATGCAGAGGCAGAGGTCATCGAGATGGAATTGTTCAATGCTGAACATGTTCGGACATCGTTGAGCAAACTCTTGACAAAGCAGTCTCCCGTCCGAACTCTCACCAACTCGCAACGAAACGCGCTTCTGAACGCGGTAGCTCTCAAGTCTTCTCCCGTGAGGATGCAGCAGCTGGGGAAGTTGGCGAGCATGCTTCCCAGCTATGCAGAGGCAGTGATTCTGAAAGGAGAAGACTCTATCTTCTTTCAGCTCATCCAGAGCTCCAAGGAGTTCGTCTGCAACGGCCGAGTCGATGAGTTTCGCTTGTGGCGGCTCCTGGACTTGTTGTCGCGGTTGCCCTTCGGTTTCAGTGAGACGGAGATCAAGAAGATGCTCGGCGGGGGGATCCATGGGCTCCTGCCGGGCCTCTGCTACGCCGAAACTATGCTCGCGCTCTCTCCTGTGCTTGCAGAGCGACAGGCAGACGGTCGGCTGGTGTACGCACTGGGCATGAAGACGTTTGCGAAGTTTGTCATCCAGCACAGAGGGGAGGTAAGCGTTTCCAAAGACCTCCTGCTGTTCTTCCGCGGGCTGCCGAGAATCACGGATGGCAGGCAGCCTGACAGCAGGAGGCTGAGGGTGCTTGCCGCTCTCACGCGCCGCTTTGAAACAGCAGAGGAGTGGGAGCACTTCCTGACTGACCTCCAGCTCGTCGAGCTCAGGCTGGCGAGCGGTCACTGGTTCGACCTCGCCAAGGAGCTGAACCAGCATGGCCCCGGGAGGGATGGGGGAGCAGCAGACATCCTGGCGTTCTTGGAAGAGAACGCTCAGACGCTGCAGGAAGAGCCTCTAAGCATGCTCCAGATGGCTCTCAACATGCCGGATCACACGAGGATCTATGAGAAGGCGATGAAGCTGGAGAGGCAGCGGCGGAAGAAGTTCTTCGCTGACGAGGCTTGGAGGAAGCTGAAGCATCTCGAGCTGCTTGAGAGGAAGGACAAGACCTTCTCCTTCGCTGAGCTCCAGTCCTTGAGCTCCATCCCACTCGAGCTCGCCTGGGACTCGCCTAAGCCCTCGATGCGCTGGGTCAACAAGCCGCAGACTCGCGGACTCTGCAAGCGAACCCTCCACGGGCACCTCGCCGGCACCTTCGGGGCGGTGTGGGCGCGAGGAGGACGGGGGGTGATATCGTGTTCGGAAGACCGGACCCTCAAGGCCTGGTCAGCCATCACAGGCGAGTTCCTGCGAGACCTGGGCGAGCACGAGAAAGCAATTCACGTCCTCGCATCCTCTCCGTGGGGTGAGACGTTTGCAAGCGGCAGCGAGGATGGAGTGGTCAAGGTCTGGTCAGTGAAGGGAGACTCTAACGAGGAGGAGGAGGAGGAGGAGAGCAGCTTCCCCCAAGAGATCCTACGAGTTCAAGCAGCTTCCAGGAGGATCACGGGTATCGCCTTTGTGTCACCAACCTCCCTGGCAATCTCGTCGGAGGAGCCTGAAGTGAAGATCATTGAGATCTCGTCGGCGTCTGAGATCGCAACGGTGGTTCCCTTCAGGCTGGGTGTCTCTTCTATCGACGTCGCTTTCTACAACAACTCGATGCTCCTCGCGACTGCTGGTGGCGATGCTGTCAAGCTCTGGCGTTTACCCACGCTTGACAAGCGAGGCGGGCTATACGGGCACAAGAAGCGAGTGAGTGCGGTCAGGTTCTGCCCGTCAGCTCCAGTAGCAGCGACCGGCTCGTGGGACAGCAGCGTCATGGTGTGGGCTCAGAGCTCCCCGCTCGTGTGGCTCAACGTCCAGGTCCTCTCCGGTCACAGCGACATGGTCCGCTCCCTTGCCTGGTCTCCTCAAGGCAGCACCCTCGTGTCCGCCTCCTCCGACAAGACCGTCAAGATCTGGAAGGGCTCGGAGGCGCCCGAGGTGTCGGAGTGGAGGCTGGCGGCGACGATCGATGGACATACGGACGCGGTGACGGATGTGAAGTTTCATCCGCAAGGTCAGACAGTCTTGACGTGCAGCCGCGACAGCAAAGTCAAGCTCTTCGATACCAACGTTCCCTTCGAGACCTCCCCCGTCGTCTCCCACTCGCTGCCGGTGCTGCTGGCTGCTGTGTGTGGCAAGAAGCAAGTGGCAGTCACGGTGTCGGAGGATCAGGAGGTGAAGGTGTGGGAGTACACGACAGGCACGTTCCTTGTGTCGCAGAGCTCGAGCCACAGCTCCGGTATCAGTGCGATAGCCCTGTCGAGCGATGGGAGGTTCGTGCTGACGGGGGGAAGAGATGGGGCGATAAGGAGGCGCGAGATTCAAGGGCTCGCGCCTGCTGGTGTGCAGCAAGAGGTGAAGAGAGCGCACCAGGGAGGAGTGGCGGTGCTGGAGCACCACAGGGAAGAGAGCTTCCTGCTGTCAGCTGGAAGGAGCGACGGGAGGATCGTAGTCTGGGAATCGGAGGCTCTTCTCGACCTCGCGGTGCTGGTGGTCGGGGAAGGGTCAGTCATCTATCGGGCCCTCTTCTCCTCGGACTCGAAGTTCGTGATCTCAGCAGACGACAAGCGAGGGATGCGGCTGTGGAACATCGAGACAGGGCGAGAGGTGTTCGCTCAGACCCTCGGGTCCTCGGAGAAGCTTGCCAAGGTCGACTTCTCAAGCGACGGGAGGTTCATCGCCACTGTCAAGACGAGCAGCGAGCAAATCGAGGTGTGGGACGCGAGCGGGGGGGGGCTGAAGGGCTCGCTGAAGAAGCACCAGGGGAAGGTCGTCGACACGTCCTTCTCCACTGACGGAAAGTTTCTGAGCTCCATCGCCACAGACAAGAACTTGATCGTCTGGCGTCTGAGCTCCCTGCGGCCCTTGTGCTCCTTTTCCCTCGCTCAGTCGCCTTGTTGCTTGTGCGCCTACCAGGCGTGGCCCTGCCTGGTCGTGGGCGATCAAATCGGCAGCGTCTTCTTCCTCACCTTCGTCGAGCCACAGCCTCCCGAAGAAAGCGACGAGGAGGACTGAGACCCCAAGAGCAGCTTCACTCCTTGTCTTGTAGCTTCACTCCTTGTCTTGTAGCTTCACTCCTTGTCTTGTAGCTTCACTCCTTGTCTTGTAGCTTCACTCCTTGTCTTGTAGCTTCACTCCTTGTCTTGTAGCTTCACTCCTTGTCTTGTAGCTTTATTCTCTGACTTGAAGGAGATTCACTCTCTCTCTTGACGGAACTTGGCTACTTGGACGGAGAGGAGCTCGATCATGCTGTCAGCAACTCGCCCATCGTGCTCGAGGCTGCTGACTTGCTCCTTGAGCTTCCTTTCACATCTCCTCGCATCTTCCACCTCTTGCATCAGGCTTGCGATTCGATCCTGCCAAGCTGATCAGCAAGTCACGATGAACATGTCTGCCAGACTTTGAGCGAAGTCACTGAAGTGCTCAAGATGCTGTTTTCTGCCTCTAGCGCCAGGAACGGGTCGGTCTGACAGAGCTTGTCGTTCCCCCTGGTCTGCACTCGTATCTGCAACTCTTGCGAGGCTTCGAGACGGAGGGCCAACGTCTTGAGGGCCATGTCGCGTTGAGAGACCTGGTGGCAAGTTGGAGTTAAAGGAAAACGACAAGTCAAACCCGGAACTACTTCTTGCTTCAGCTTCTCAACATCTGCTTGTAAAGCCTGCAACTGCTCCGACGACTCTCTCAGTCTCTCAGCTGCCAAGGATCCCTTGTGGCTCAAATCACGAACAAGATCAGCCAGCTGATCTCTTTCTCTATACTTCGTTGTCAGCAAACAAATCCAAGCAAGAAGGTTCATGTACCTTTCAGCCCTGGCTTGAGCTTTCAAGGCGAGGTGCTGTGACTCAACGTAAGTCGACATGCTTGACCTCAGCTCGTCGATGAGCTTCTGGCTCGAGTCCTTGTCTTGTAGAGATTTGTTCTTCTGGGAGGAAATCTGCCATCAGAGCATGCAGTTTGCTGTCAACGAGTGATCGCACCATGTGTTGGAGCTGATCGGTTGACTCGAGCTGCTTGTCATGGAGCTCCTGGTTGCAACAAGCTCACAAGTGCAGCAGGGATGGAAAGGTGGCACACTCGTTCTAGGGCTGCTGCTGTTTCAAGAGCCTTGTGGCAAATCTCACTCTCCTTGCTCAGCTCGCCTCGCAGTCTCGCACATTCCTTCTCGAGCAAACAACGCTTGTCTGCTTCCATCGCCATGTTCCGAAAGATGTGGACCTTGCGCTGCAGGGAGACTGAGAGCAGCCTGAGGGGGCCTCAACTTCGCAAGGGAGTCACGTGAACTCACTTGTGGACCTTCTTTAGCCTTGCAAGGCTCGTCACGATCAACTTAAACTCGCCAGTGACGTTCTACAACACTCGGAGGTTTACACATCAACACGGAGATATGATTCCAAGAAACCTCGATCAATTCTGAAAATGTAAGATTGAAGTCTAGCTTCAACTCGTCCATCCTTTGCACAAGCCTCTCAAGAGACTTTGGTAATTTAGCCTCAAGCATCGCGACCCGTTTCACTTCCTTGTTGAAATTTGCTGTTTTCATCGACCATGTTTCCTGTTGCAGAAGAACTCAGGATCGACTTCCAGCAGTGATACTCTAGCTCAAACCTGTTCTAGCTTCAGTGTATGTACCTCATCCTCCAGCTTCAGCCTCGCTTCCATCAGAGTAGCGACCTGTGCTCTCAGTTCCATCTCTGGAAGCCTGTCAGCGAGTGCACGGGGAAGGAGCAAGTCACCGAGGGAGTGAGATCTGCTTGCTGTTTCCAAGCACTTTGATTCCAGCTTAGCTGCCTGTCACATCACTGAGATCACGATGATGGTAGGATTTACAGACAGACGCACTTTCTCTTGCAGGCTCCCGACCATGGCGTGTAGTCTCGATGTTTCCTTGCGATTATGAATCAGCTCCTCATTTCGTTCCTCGTCAAGTCTTTGCATGGCTCGAAGTTGTTCTTGGAGTTTTGCTCTCTCGCTCCTGAACTGTTTGAGCTGATCTTCATGCTCACTCTCAAGCAGCGCGCAATGCTGCCTGCAATTTTCGTAGTCTTGCCGCAGTTTCGCGATTTCTGAGCGCTGAATTTGAACTTGTTGTGTGACAACAATGGTCTCCTTCATCTGAGCCTTGAGAGGGTCAACCTCTTGCAAGTAAGCTTTCCTCATCGAGTCTTCTTTGGCCGCCTTGTTCACGTTGATGTCGGTAACCAGCTGCGGCGCAAGGAACATTCGATCCAACTGAGCTATCCTCATGTTCATTGACCCCTCTAACGCCATGCGCGGTTTACCGATCATAGGTCTCCGGCTCTCACCATTGACGCTCTCCTCCTCCTCCTCCTCCTCCTCCTCCTCCTCCTCCTCCTCCTCTACCATTTCCGTGCCTTCATCGCTGCTGGCCATCTGACTGGAGTAGGAGCAGTCAAATTTGTTGTTGAAAACTATGAAAATTGATTTAGCTCAAGACGATATTTTACTAGTTTCCGGTGGCAAGAATCGTTCCATTCATGGGGGGTAGGGGATAGAGGATGGGGGGTAAGGGGTATCGAGTAAGGGGTAGGGGCTGAAAAGGGAGAGGGTCTGTGAAGGGTATTTGCTTCGAGAAGTTCACTGCTTATACTAGGTGGGGTATGTCAAGTATGGGGTAGGTAGATGGGGACTATTAGAAGCGTGGGGGTCCTTGACGAACCACCAGGTGGGGTAGCAAATAATTCCTTGGGGGTCCGCAAAAGCCGGAAATAGGCCATGGGCGGAGAGTGCGGAGAGTGGGAATGGCATCGGCTGCGAGCAGGTAACGCAAAGAGATGGAGGAGAGGAGCAGAGGAGCAGAGGAGCAGAGGAGCAGAGGAGCAGAGGAGCAGAGGGGTAGAGGAGCAGAGGAGGAGCATAGAAAAAAAGAAAAGGAACAGGAGAAGAAGAGAAAGCGGAGCCGGCAAGTGATGTTGGTTCAGCATTAGAGGTAACGCGAAATCGTGGTTTAGCATTTGGAAACGAGTAGAGAAATAGATGTTCGGGAAGAAATCCGATCTTACATGATTTGCAGAGGACCAAGCACACAGGACGAAGAAGCAAGGTGAGAGGCGTGTGAGCACAAAGGGCCTACGTGACTCACTATCTTCGTTAGCTGTCCTGCGATACTCGGTGCTCTTCATTGCAGCGGCAGCAGCTATCTGTGGGTTTCTTCTCCTCACATCGTCAAGCGGAACGTCAGCTGATGGGTGAGCTACTGCAGTACCTCAGAGGGTTGTAAGAGTCGCTTGCAGCTCTGTCCATGGAGCGCAGCTCCTGTCTTCGCGTGTCCCTTGCCAGGGGAGCTCCTGCAAGCAGATGTCTCTGTCACGGGCTAAGCTCCACAAGCTCCCTCGCTCGGCTCGTACGGTGGTCAAAGGTACCTCATTCGCTGCCCCTTCCATCTCGAGCCCTGGATCAGACGCGTACACGCAGGGAAAAGCATGCTGTCGAGCGTACGAGAGGACGAGAAGGTGAAGGTGAGGCTCTACATGGAAAGTCAGGTACGCAGCAGTCGATGCCATGCTGCATGTCAGCTGACCTGTTGTAGTGTCCTGCTTGCAAGAAGTATTCCACTACTTACATTAAGCAACTTCTCGAAACTCCGGGGGTGAGGTGCTATGAGGTTGGGTATGTTTGCTCATCTAGTCTACCTGCAGGTGAAGGACATTGTGGATTTCAAGTTTGTTCCGTGGGGAAATGGAAAGATTCTCAACAATCAACAAGTCAGTCAGGTTGTGAAGAAAGGTGGGACTGACAACAAAGCAGGTTCTCAACACAACTCAGCTGCTCTCGAGCACTTTGAATCATCTGGAGCTCGCGGTGCAATCGCAGAACTCAATTGTGGATTCACTGGTCCACGACTTCAACAACATGTGGAGATCTTTGAGCTTCGAGATTACTCACTTAAAGCAAAATCGTACTTCTACTAGCTTTCAGTCTTCTCTCTGTAACTCGTTGGAGCAGCCATCGTCAAGAAGTATACCTCACTCGCACACTTTTCGACTCGTGAGAAGGCTGTGAAGCAATCTCTCTTCTCTGAGGAGGAATGGCTCGCCAATCAAACTCAGTTCAACATGGAGGATTGGATCTCTGATCACACTCTGCCCGGTATCGATGAGTGGCTGGCAAACCAGACGTCTTTCGACTTCGAGGCTTGGCTTTCTTCCCAGCCCACGTATGATATCGAAAGCTGGCTGAGTGGAGGATCAGGAGCTGCAGGTGACTTTGAGTTGGAGCTGGCGAGGTGACAATGGGACTGAATCTCACTAGGTAACGCCAGCAACTCGACGGACTCGCGATCCGACATTCAGAAGTGGCTGGACGACCAGCCCGACTTCGATTTTGAGGTTCTTTGTCCTGGGCATGTGCTGGGTATGACGATTCGTTTAGGCGTGGCTAGCGGCTCAGCCGGTCTTCGACTTTGACGGCTGGTTGTCGAACGTTTCTAAGGCCCAGCAGGTGGAGGCGGAAGACGCAAAAGCTTTTGTTGAGTTCAGTTGACTGCTGTCACAGGACACTTCCTCCAATTCGTCTGGCTCGGGGCTCTTGAGCGAAGGGTCCATCGTTTCCCTCCAAGCAAAGCTGGACAAGTTGACGAGCAAGCTGATGCTTTTGAAGAAGGCATGCGTCGTTCAATTCCTCTTGTTGACTCTGACCTGCTTCCTTGCAGTTGGGCTCCCGCATCCGAGCTCTAAGGTAAGCAGAGATGGAGGGAAAGCGAAGGTTGTCGATCTGAAGGTGTAGGGTCAGGACATCCGCCTTGCATAAGAGGCAGGCGTTGGCCGAGGAGTCTTCGCACTCGATCAACCTCAACCTCGTGTTCCTCTGCCAGCATGGAAGTCAAGAGTGTGCGGGTAACGCCTGGGAGAACTGCATTCAGGTATCTCCTTGATAGCTCGGGAAGGAGGAAGAGGTTGTGAAGAAGAATGACTCGACGAGCAGAGCATGTATCCTGATCAGCAGACTTTCTTCCCTGTCATCGATTGCGTCGAGAAACGAGGCTGTGCGGAGGGACAGAAGGCCCCCGAGGACTGCGAAGGCGAACCGCAAGGTGAAGGTGTGAGAGAGAGGGGCTGACGGGCTGACGGGCTGATAGCTGTGGCGGGAGGATGCGTTCACGAGTTCGGTCACGGAGTGATGGATATCAACGCGCTGCAAGCTTGTGTGTATGGATCTCAAGGACGAGGACTCCAGATCCCGGTCTCTTGTACTCTCTCGTCACCCTCCTTTACAGTCCTCTGCTTCCCTATGACTTCCGAAGCCTCCTGCTGCTCTTTTCTTCCGGCCCCTCACCTCCTTTCAGGAGTCGACAATCTTGCTGCTCCAAGCAGCGAAGGAGACGAGCGAGGCAACGGGCAGGCAGTGGGTAAGAGCACAAGCTTCTGTCACCCTGCATGATATGCACCTAGGTGCCCTGGCTGACCATCGACGGCGTTTCTCCCGCGACCAGTCAAGATGACTTTGGGCAGATCTTCCTGGTCTCTTGTTCTGCTCCCCTCGTGCACGAAGCATTCTCTCCGACTTGCTCCTCCTTGTCTTCATCGCTCCTCCCTCCCCCTTGCCTCTTGCACTCTCCTCGTTCCTCCGACTGACCCTCGAGGTCGTCAGGTCGGCATGCATGTATGCAACGCCTACGCCAAGAAGACTGGCAAGACCCCTCCCTCGCAGTGCAGCTCCTTCATCACTCAAGTTCCCGCGGATCCCTGGGCTGCTTTCAACGGGACGAGCTTGTGAGGAAAGAAGCCGCCTCCTCCTCCTCCTAACGGCTCTCGGAGCTTCGACCCTCGTCTACCGCGTGATTAAATCTCTTTCTTCTTCTCCCTCCTCTCCTTCTCCTGCTTGCTCCTGTTTCGATCGCGGCTCCGTGCAGCCTCGATCACATCATGGGCTCTGTCGATCCACAAGAAGATCTGCGAACGAGGTCATGCAGGAGGGGGCGAGTGTGGCGGACCTCCTCTGGAGGAGTGTCGAGCCAGTAGGTGCCCTGATAGTCGGGGGGAGGAAGAGGAACGTCCATGGCTCGCCATCTGCAACGCGGTGAGCTAGGGAGGAGCTCTAGCTTGAGCTTCCAACCTCTCGCTCCTCCTCCTCTCCTGCCTCAGCAGCAACGCCAAGGAATGATGCATGCTCTCGAGCAACTGCACAGTGAATGGGTCAGGGAGGATGAGGAGAAGGACAGGGAGAGGAACGCGTCGGGAGGAGAGTGAAACCTGTCTGTCTTGGAGCTCACCAACGTTTGCCTTCCGATGAGGTCAAGGAGAAGAGAAGGAGCAAGTGACGCACATGCACTAAGGGACGAGGGAGAAACGTGTAGTCCTCGTTAACCGCGAGTATCTGTACTGGCTTGCCCTGCCAGTCAGCCAGGGATGTTGACTCATTGAAGAATTTCCTGCTGGCATGTGATGAGGAGGGAGGAGGGAGAAACGAGACCGGAAGGTCGGAGGGACAGCATAAGACTCCCGCGCAGCTGACAAGTTCCGTTCCTGCGACATCAGGACGATGCTCCTCTCTTGCCTGGGACTCGAAGGCACTGAACAAGAATGAGAGTGAACGAAGGAAAGAGGTGAGGAGGAGCAGGAGAAGGAGAAGGAGAAGGAGAAGGAGAAGGAGCAGAAGCAGGAGCAGGAGCAGAAGCAGAAGTAGAAGCAGGAGCAGGAGCAGGAGCAGGAGCAGGAGCAGGAGCAGGAGCAGGAGCAGGAGCAGGAGCAGAAGCAGAAGCAGGAGCAGGATCAGCAAAAAGACCATGCAAGCCCCAAAGCCGTTCCAGCCAGATATAGAACTCCCTCAAGGCTTTCTGCGTCATGGTCGTCCGTCAAGACTCTCGAAAGGCTCTGGGTCGACCGGCAGGTGCGGGTCATAACTGACCTTGTTCGCCCTTGTTCGCTCCTCCTCCACCATGTCCCTCGTGTACACGAGCTGCAAGAGGATCAAGGAAGCAGCGGGTCACAGAGCGACTCACTCGCTCCCTCGAATGAGCGATCTTCATCTTCATCCACCAGTCGTCTGTCGTAAGGTGCGCGTCTGTCCGTCTGCGAGTCTGACGATGCGAGTGAGCAGCGAGGCTAAAAGATGCTTCGAGGGTTTGAGCGATCGAAAAGATTATGGAGGAGGCCAAGAGGTTGTCGCACCTCCAAGTCTTCTTCACTCACTAGTTGAGAATCCTTCTCCAGGTTGTCGATGACGTCACCATGCTTATGAAACTCCTCAAAAAGGAATAAAACAGTTCAAGGTCGCGGTAACTCACGCATTCCTCCACGTGGTCAGCGAACAGCTTCTTTACGATGAAGGTGTTCTGGTAGAGTGTGAGCACGGCTTGCTATCGTCATCCTCACACACTAATGTAGGAGCTTGTCGCATCTCATCGCAGCTGCCGTTGGCATTAACGTCGGAGTTGGAATCAGAAGCGTCCTCCAGCATCTCTCGCATACACAAGCCCCAGTCCTTGTTGTAATCCTCCATGTCAACGATGTGCTTTGCGAGACCGGAGGACCTTGAAGACCAGGTCACTTGTCTCGTCTCACACAGCCTGACGTACTGTGTCGATGACTCGTAGGACTCAGTCTCGACCGTGTCCGTCGCATCCTCATCTGCGCACGCCTCCTCTGCTTCCATGGCTTTGCCTGTGCACGCCTGCTCTACGGCTAGCGATACCTCTCGCCCTCCCTTCGCTCTATCCAATCTCAGGGCTGTGAGAGCTTGATGCAGGAGCTGAAAAGAAACTGTTGGACTGAGCACAAGCAGCTCGCTCTGTACCTCAACATGATCGTAGAACGTTTGCACCAGGTCTCTTAACCCGACATCTGTTGCAACGTGAGACACACCATCCAACCATCCCATCACAGATCGACCTGCCGGCAGTTCTCGCCTCCCCTCTTTATGCCACTTCTCGAGCATGGGCGGCAAGAGGGAGGCGACGCCCCTCGCCTTCTCCTCCCGCACGCTCGAGAGCCACACGACCATCTCCTCCATCCCGACCATCAACGCCCTCGCGCACACTGCAAGTCGGTGGATCCTGGCGCTCTAGCAAGCTCAAGTCACTGTTACAGCCTGACTCTTACATGCACTACAAGTGACTCGCAGTTCTCGGTGGATTGAGGAAAGAAAACCTGAAGAGATCCGCATCAGCAACACCCTTTGCAAGCTTCTCTTGAGCACCCATCGTATCGCAACCGCATCTTGAGCTTCAACCTCAGCCTGTATCGCATACTTCAATCGAGCAAACAGGATATTCCTTGCTCGGTGAAAGCACTGGAGAGAGTGCTGGCGCCATGCGAGGAACAAAGCTTCTTCCCGCGAACAAGATCCTGTATCTAGGAGCCCTCCCCTGGTCCTCGCGTCGACCTCTTGCGAGATAACGTGCAGTGTCTCGTTCATGCGGAGGAGGAGTGGGAGAACTTGACCCTCTGCGGCACCAATCTGATGAACATGCTGGCCATCTGTCGTGCCGTTGCACTGTTGGCTTGACACGCGAAAGACTCTCTGCCGAGGCAAGCGCCATGGCTTGCAATGAAGGTGCTTCACGAGACTGAACTCGCTGTATGAGACACTGCAGCATCGGCTACATCCAAAAAGCAACAAGATCCAGACTCTGATCATGCACTTGCACTTCGACTACCAGTGGGGCTAACGACTACGAGAACCTCTCGACTTCCGACCGCTCGTACCCCTTGGGTCCTCCGACTGTCATGGGTGGCGAGGGTTGATTGGATCAATCCTCCATCCTTCACCCGGATGTGTACTCGGCCTCAAGCAACATCCTGCTGTGCATGTGCTTGTCACCTTGTAGCCACCTCGACCTCAAGTCTCTGACGCCCTGCTCGCCCTCCTTGCTGCTTGCATTCGCTCCTGGAACCTGCTCACAGTATATCATTGCAGTCAAGCCCAACACGGCATGCCCGGTTAGCTCAGTCGGCAGAGCGCAAGGCTCTTAACCTTGTGGTCGTGGGTTCGAGCCCCACATCGGGCGAAGCTCCGACTGAAACTTTTTGACTGGACTCTAGAGTCTTTTTTTCTTTTACAACATTCTTTTTGACTCCGAGCGCTGCAGTGAGCACACGGGGCTGGTAGGGTGGTAGTGCTGATTGGTGCAGGGGTGGGGTGAGGGGTGGTGGGGTGGTCAAGTTTGTCTCTTCCGGGCATGGCACTAACGCTGCCAGCGCTTGAAGCAGCTTCAAGGATGCAGGACCCTCTGTCTCTAGCGAGCGAGGGCAGGCAGGATTACAGAGAGCTCAGCAGAGCCAGCGGTGCCGTCTCTGTGTTCAACTCCATCCCAGCGTCCATCACATCGAGGATCAGCAGTGGACTTGACAAGGACAGCGTGTTGATCGATCCGCTGGTTCCTCAGCAAGTAGCCGGGGACACATTCAACTACTCCTCCAGGGCTAGCCAGCCGTCGCTGTCTGAGCAGCTGCCTGAGAACATCGGGTCTTTGATTCAAGGGGAACGACGAGCGGAGGTCATCCGGGAGGAGATGAGGGCTTCGAGACGTTGGAGCGACTCCATCGCTGACCGAGCCTCCACGCTCAACAACCCGCCTGTCATCTACGTGCCCGAACCCCAACAGGTTCAGACAGATCCGCTCACCACCACGTATACGTCATCTGCCCGTTCCATCTCAACCAGGGAAAGGATTGTGTTCCCCATTCCGCAGTCGGTAATCCAGCAAGGGAGACCTCTGCCGCAGCTAGTGGAGCATTCGAATGCCACCAACGATGCAGACAAGGCCAAGTCCTTCTTCGACAAGTATTCGTGGGTGCGCATGGAACAAGGTATGCAATGGATGTTGAATGCGCTACAGCTAACACGTGCTGTAGACCTTCAGTCGTCTCAGGACCCCACCTTCAACAAGTATATGAGCAAGCAGGAGACAGAGAGGATTGAATCTATCATCCCCGAGAAGTCCTGGAAGCAGGAAGGCATGAATGAAAAAATTGGGAAGATGCCAAGAGATGAAGTGTTCAAGTACTTGAAGGAATGTGAAGATGACTACAAGGAAAAACAATTCCGAGCGAAACATATCGACGATGGTGGACTTGCAGAGTACAATCTGAGAGAATCGGAGGTACGGCTGATGGAAGCAAGAAGCATGGCACGTGAAGAGCTCACAAAGATCTCGAAACAGACCAGGTAGCTGACAACTTTAACTTCACCACTCTGAATGGTTGCAGGGGGAGCAGCTCCAATGAGAACTTTGTGCCAAAGAAGTGAGTGTTGCTCTTGTTGCGATAGAATACAAGCTCACACTTGACGCAAGTCCTCCTTCTGTTTCTCGCATAGACAACTTCGAAGGTCAAGGAGCTTACAAACAGGACAACAAGGTCAATCTCTCATCGCTCTCTCATCTGTTTCACTTTGCTCTCGTCTGTTTATGCCTCTTTTGCTTCTCCTCCTCTTCGCTGATTCAGTCTACTTCTCCTGCAGTCCTTTTCCAGGGTTAAAGGTATTCAGAGCATTTTGTCTGTTCACGTTCGCGAGGCTGTCGGCTTAGCTGTTCTGCTGCAAAATCAAGCAGGTGCGTGAGCAAAGCTGAGGAAGATGTGAAGGTGACGAGGCTCTGACAGTCGGCGTGCACTCTCCATGGGTCTACGTCTCAATGTCTCTAAGGAGAGCAAATCCTTCCTCACAGCAGAAGCAAGAGATCACCAGGTGACAGCAAGCGAACAAAGGGGAGGGTGACGACACGAAAGGCTTTCTCGTTGCCTTCCCTACGACTTCGGACATGCCTCGTCTTCCTATCTCGTGCAAGGGCCTGACGGGAGGAGCATCGAGGAAATCGATCTGGTACGAGCACCTCCTCTCCCATACCCCTCGTGATGCACCCACAGGTCGAGACCTACAGGGATGAGCGAGAAGACGCGAGAGGAGTGGGAGGGGTAGCGCAAGCAGGCGAGTCTCGTAGTTGATGACACGTGCAGATGGTCAGATGGAACGAGACTTTTCAGCTGCGCCTCGAACAAGAAGAGTACATAGACTCCGAGCTGATCCTCACTGTGTGTCCTCCTGTGCCTCCCCAGCTCTGCTGAGTGACTTTCAAGGTTCACGAAGTCAAGAAGGAGGGCATCCATGATCCCACGGGGAGAATGATCGGACAGACTAACGCCATCTCACTCCGAGACCTCTACTCATACGGCAGGATGGAGGCTTGGCTTCAGCTTGCCCCCACGACATCCTTCGGTGAGCAGCAAGGCCTTGTTGGAAGAAATTCATGGGATTTCCTGCAGTCCTCCCCTCCTCGACTGCCATCCCTCAAGTTCGTGTGGGTATCGAGTATCGCGAGCTCGGTGAAGCAGGAGGAGAAGTGCTTTGACCCTCCTCACGAGTCAACCAGAGAAGTCTTGGGGGCCGACAACACTCGCAACGGACTTTCCGCCTGCTCCTGACAAGAAGACATGGCCTGAGCTTGAAGGAGTGCCATGCGGCGAAGCTTGCAGGAAGATCAAACAGGAGAGACCAGATGTGGAGATCAAACTGCTCAAGTTCTCTCTGGTATTCACCTCTCACAACTCTTCCTCCTCCTCCCTGTCCTCCTAACCCCCCCCCCCCCCTCCCCCTCCTTTCTCTCCACTCCCACACCTCTCGCTTGCTGTTTCATCCTCATCCTTCCGATGCTGACCTTGCGTCTACAGGACACAGACCTTCTCATGGGGTTCGATCTCGCTGCCGACAATGAGCTTGGAGGAGGCGACGTGCTTGGAAACTTCACGGGCCTCTTCGGGTTCAAATCCGATGCCCAGAGGGTCGAGGATGTGAGCTGCTGTTCCCCCTTTCTGCTGCTCCTCTCCTCCTTGCACCTGCTGCTGCTGCTGCTGCTGCTGCTGATGATGATGATGATGATGATGATGATGATGATGATGATGATGATGATGATGATGATGATGATGGCAGGTGGAGAGATATCTTGCTCGCCAGCGGTTTCAAGTGCTTGTGTTCTACCAGGACGACGGGCTCGTCCGAGGCTGCCCGAGGCTCCGACGTGTGCCCGAGTGACGAAGAGAGCTCAGGGCGGCAGCTGCTGGCTGGGCGGGACAGAAGAGTCAAGGGAGAGGAAGGAGAGAGAGTCGCCGGTCTTGCTCGTCCTCATCCCTATGCACGTCAATGGTCTTGTCAAGTAGACCCGCGACAAACTCGCCATTGTCTCAGCAGCGGATGAACCCTTCGAGGCTGCCACCGGGTAGCCGCTCGACGCCATCCTCCTCTTCCCTTCCACAGACATGGTCAGGCTGCTGGAGCTCAGCTCTGACATGCTGGACAATCGCTGCTTGAACTGTCTTTGTCGCTTGTCCATGCGCCTTCTCGCCTCCTCCATCCTCGCCTCCTCCTTTTTCTCCTTGACGAGCTCCTCCCTCAGCCTTGTAGCCACCTTCTCCTCCTCTCTCAGCATTTCCTGCCATCTTCGCTGCAGTTGCTTCTGCTTATGCGCCATCTTCTCCTCCTTCGCTCGCCTCTTCTTCTCTACTTCTTTCATCGCCGTCTTCACTCCCTCTTCGTAGCTTCTCCGGAAGGACTCTATGGCCTCCATCACGAACGCTCGTCGCTCTTCTGCGCTTTTCTTGGCCTCGACAATCTTCATACGGTGCCGTGCTGCCTCCTCCTCCCTCTGCTCCCTTGCTCGCGAGCTGGTTGCCTCTGACCAGTCAGAATCCGACGCTGAAGGCTCTATCCTCTCCCTGCTAGCCATCTGCTGGTATCCCAGGATGCTCCTGCCGTATGCCCGGAGCTCCTCCAGCGTCAGCTCGCCGTCGCCGTCCTTGTCGATGAACTTGACGAGGTTTTCAATCTCAGCTCGGCTCAACTGCTTGTCCAGCCGCTCCATGTGATCGATGAGCTCCTTCTTCTCCACCGTACCCGACGCGTCCTTGTCTACAGAGAGGAACACGAGCCGCAGACGGTCGTCCAAGTTCGACCGGTTGGTCTCCCGGTCAAACAGCCACTCGGCAAAGGCTCGATGAATCCGTCGGGGAACTTGAGAGGAGTCGGGGGCAGCGAAGTAGGCGCTGAGAGAAGTTTGAAGAGACTCCAAGGTGTCGTTGCTGTCCATGGTCTTGGAGAGCGACGTGCCGGCCTCATGCAGCACTTCTTCGTACAGCTTCATCATCTGCACCCTCTTCTTGCTCCTCCTCCTCTTCTTCTCCTCGAAGCTCTTGGCGTTGTTTCTGTGAGCATTGGTCAGCGGCCTGAAGTCAGGTGCATGCTCTCACTCGATCGTCTGCTTGAGGTGCTTCTCCTCTCGCTCTTGCTGTCGCAGGCTGCAAGCATCAGGTCACTCCCATGCATCATCACCCGACCAACTTACCGACTGCGGACGAGGGCGACGTGCCATCGCGTAGCCTTGTCCTTGTCCTCTCTCATTTGCTCCTCCATTCGCTTCCCGCTAGAGACTTGCAGGCGCCTCAGCTCGTCCCTGCGCGTCCGTTGGAGGCGCTGCTCCTCCTGGGCCTCCTCCTCCTTCTGCTTCATCTCCAGCAGGAAGTCCTTCATGTACTTCTTGTTCAGCGCGCCTTCGATCTTACGACGCAAGACTCGCTCCCGGGATTCCACCAGCCGCTGCGATCTGATGTGCTCCATCTCCTCCAACCTCTGCCTTCTCTGGCTCTTGCTCGCAGCTCCGCAGCCTTCACCGGGCTGATCGGACGGGGGAAGGAGGGAAGAGAGGGGCTGAACGGGAAGGGGAGCAGGAGACCTCCGGGGATGAGGGAGGGAAGAAAGACATCTGCGAGACTTGATAGACCTGATGTAGCTCTCGGTGTCTGCCATGTCCCTTACGTCGCACTCTCTCAGCTTCTTGTACCCGCGGTTGTCCTCCAGCTCCTTCAAGATCTTTCTCTGCTCAGACTGACTCTCCCTGCTCGCGTGTTGCTGCATTGCTCCCTCAATCACCTCAAAGATGATGTCTTGCACCATCTTCCTGCAGGCAAAGTCCATGATTCTGCTTCTCATGGTGGCACTTTTCCATTCGTCCTCCAGCATGTCGATTTCGTTGACATCTGAGGGTGTGAAGGCATGTGGAGGAGAGTCTGCAATGGCGACATGCTCTGTGATGACTCGACCTTCGATCTCGATGTCGTCCCATGTTACTTTGGTGACGTTCAACCAGACCGGCTGTCTCCGAACACCATCCTCTTCGTCTTCTTGCGCCTCGTCTTCGAAGTCAGGCTCATACATCTTCTCTTCTCTTCGCTTCAACGGATTTTCTTCATCGTAGGAGACGTCGGACGCGCAGGACCCTATGGGAAGTTTTCAGGTCATAGCAGATAACATATCCGGCACTTGTAGTGATAGACAGTTATCTCAATAATTACATTTCATCTTCTCATAAACTGTGCCCATCACATTTCTTATTCTCCTACTACTGTTCTTTCATCCTGAATCTCTCCTCTTCTGCATGTTCATTCAGTCTTCCCTCCTCCTGCTTCTCTCTTCCAATTCTTCACCTATCCCTCTCCTCTTCTCTTCTTCTTCTCTTCTACTCTTCCCTTCTGCCCTCCTTCTGCTCTTCCCTTCTGCTCTCCTTCTGCTCTTCTTCTCTTCTCTTCCTGCTCTTCTTCTTCTCTTCTTCTTCTCTTCTTCTCTTCTTCTTCTCTTCTTCTTCTCTTCTTCTTCTCTTCTTCTTCTCTTCTTCTTCTCTTCTTCTTCTCTTCTTCTTCTCTTCTTCTTCTCTTCTTCTTCTCTTCTTCTTCTCTTCTTCTGCTCTTCTTCTTCTCTTCTTCTTCTCTTCTTCACTCCTCTTCTCTTCTTCTCTTCTACTCTTCCCTTCTGCTGTTCTTCTGCTCTTCTTCTTCTCTTCTCCTCTCCTCTCCTTCTGCTCTTCTTCTCTTCTTCACTCTTCTTCTCTTCTTCTTCTCTTCTACTCTTCCCTTCTTCTCTTCTTCTTCGCTTCTTCTCCAACTGCCTTCTCATGATCCTCCCTGCCTCCCTCCATTGAGCCGTTAGTAACTGGGCCTGAGTGGGGCTGAGGGCTGCTTGGCAAAATTGGGACCGAGGTACGCCAACCGTCCAGTCAAGTTACTCAAAGTTAAGTTAAAATTGAGTACGAGGACAACCAGGAGATAGCCTACTGAGAGGAGCCTGTTACCCTGACACTGCAGGCGCCCCTTGAGTACACGGTGTTAGGTCCTCTCCGACATGAACCGTGAACAGTGCCGCCGAGTCTCCGAAGTTGTTCTCGGGCCCTCAGGCGGACTCCGGAGTCGGTGACGTTAGCGGGACAGCAGTGGGCCTCAACTCTCATTCGTCTCCGGGCCCTTGGTGACCCGGCGACGATACTCAGGCTGATGCGGCCCGGGTTGCGCGGCCCCGGGCCTCACAGAGTCACTCGGTGTGCAAGCGGCTTGGCGGCACGATTTTATCGATTAAAATTGCAGGTTTGATTCGATAAAATTCCAACTAGGAGATAGCGAAGGTGATGATGATCCCGATGATGATGTGGAGGGAGTCGAGTATGCGATGTTGCTGCAGGAGGAGGAGGAGGAGGAGGAGGAGGAGGAGGAGGAGGAGGAGGAGGGTGAAGAGTGAGTGAGTGAGGGAGGGAGGGAGCAAGTAAGAAGAAGGCCAAGGTAGGAGAGAATTGTAAGGAACAAGGAGAAGAAGCTGGATGGGGTTGGACTGGACTCCCATGGAATATGAGACGGAGGAATATCCGAGATAGGCGATGATCGTACTTGAATCATGGAGAGAGGGGAAGGGCACACGACTTTCAAGCTCCGTCTCTTGACTGAGAAGTGCAGAACGATGCTATGAAGCAAGGCATCTCGCTGAACGGCGAATAACAAGGAGTACGAAGCATGAGGGTTTCAGGATTTATCCTCCTCCATTTGATCGTCATCTTCTTCGTTGCGAGCTCACTTGCCGAGGAATCACTCAGTCCTAGGCATCTCACAACGGTAAGAATGCAAGGATGACTATGGTGCCTCTATCATTCACATCGTGGTTTGGATTCGCTTGTTACCCAGGATACCTTTGAGTCAAACACCACGGAGCACACGCTTGTAAAATTTTTCGCGCCATGGTGTGGGCACTGCACTATGATGGCACCAGGTGAATCGTGTTGGCAAGGTGGTGGCAACTAACTTCTTCTCAACACTTTGATAGCTTTCCAATCGCTCGCTCGAAGGGTATATCGTGAGTGGAGGTACTCTATCAATCTTCCCTGCCTCGGAGTTGTGAACATTCATGAAGCGGTGCTCATGTTGCGGAAGTGAATGGAGATGCTGAGCAAGAGCTCGTTCGTCGATTCAACATAGCGGGGTAAAACTTGCAATCGTGTTGGTTCAAACTCAAACCTGAACGTTATGATCCGTAAGTTATCCAACGTTGGTCCTGGTCCACAATGGAAAGATAGTCACACACTACCATGGACCCAAGTATCATGACAGATTTGATTGCGATAATCCTTGATGGCGCTTCACAGGGAGGAGCAATCAATGTTCGAATTCATGAAGCAGCGAATTCCCACGATGAAGATGCGACCGGTGAGGAAAGTAGAAAGCCAGACTGAATCTCATCTTGCGCACAGAACGTTGTTACCCCACATGATCGCTGCTTGAACGTTGCAAGAAAGAAGAATGGTTCGAACTCTTGTAGCCCCTGGCCGTCTTCTTGAAGCTGGGCCGCAGGGGCGCATGCTGAATGCGACGGTCAAAAGCGAGGGTTCGGTCCTGGGAAGGCAATCGACGGGGTATGCTGTCGTTAGGGAAGGAAGGAGATCTCACCCGATGATTAGGTGATCAAAGGTTACTACGGAACCCACGGCGAGCTGTCGTACAGCGGATGGTCATGGGGTGGTATGACGATGCGATGAAGAATTTCTGGGGGTGACGCGATGGCAGGCGATTTGTCACATGCGATGTTCCTCGTTGCATTCGACAAAATTTATGAGATCACTGTGACTCTGACGTGTTGGAGGGGAGATGTTTCAATGACCGCCTGATAGAGGATCAAGATTTTTTCCGGGGTTGGCTTTGTGGACTTGAAGATCACAGCATTTCGAATCCTGTCAGATGAGGCTCAGCGAATGTTTGTCCTTGTTGACAAGAGGTTACAGATATTGTGATCGGAAAGGTGGAGCCTACTTTAACGGCTATGAGGCAGCCACGTGTGTTGAGTGCCTGGTGAGCTCTGCTCTGATGAAGCTGCAGGTGCTGGAAGCCGATCCCCAATGTGACTGTGGCGAATGATTACAACTCAGACGGGGAGCAGGTGATAGATTCAGGTACTGCCTGCTATGAAGCTGATGGTATATTCCAAAAGTTGTACAAATTGTCAAAGGAAGCTAAGGCGACCGTTGAGGTTCGTTGACATCCTTGCGGGATCGTCGGAGGCCCCTTGCTCCAAATCTCGTGACTTTCTTGAAAGGTGAAGCGAGGAGTCAGCATGGTCGAACTCTCCTGCCCTCCCTTGAAAGCGTCTGGTGTCAGCGTGACGGTGGGAGATGAGTCTGTTGACAAGCGCAGGGGTGAAGTTTTGGCTTGCAGGTGCTGGGAACAGACTCTGCTAACAATGACGGAGTCCTGTCGGAGATCGAGGTTTACACTGAGCCTCTCTGCTCCTGGTTCGATGGATGCTCGCGGCATGAGGTCATCCATCCTGGACTTGTCTGCAAGCATGACTTGTTCCATCAGCGATTCCTGATAGATGAAGCGGAGAGGATCAAGCAGGAAGAGATCCGAAACCTCACCAAGCAGATCAAGGTGAGAGATGGAATGTTCCAACCCCCCTGAGCTCTTGAGTCAAGGCGGAGAGAGCAGCGGAGAACGCAAAAGTGGCTATAGTGGAGGAGGCCAAGGCCAATCTCACTCGAGCAGGTCTGCCGTCACATCGTTGGATCTCTCGTGGTTCCCTGGGTTGACGTTGGAGAGCAGCGGAAGAAATGCTAGAGCAGGCGGAGATTCAGTTCAAAGTCAGCAACCTCAAGGGAGAGGCAAGCGTGCTCGTCTCGCTCTCGCTGTCTAGTGACTCTTGTCCCAGTATGGTGCATACGGCCTCCTCCAAAGAGCGAAAGATAAGTTCGAGGAGGCCGGCCTGCTGCAAGCAAGGTGAAGTCTTCATCACCTGCCCTCCTCCTGGCTGCCGTAGCTGGCTGTCATGTCACATCAGACGCAGGACGAAGAGCCTGGAAGAGCTCGAGGCCAAGTATCGGTCAGTCCGCCAGCCTCATCTCATCCCGCTGACTTTGAGCGATTCAGCCAAGCAATCGAGTCGGAGGAGGCCCGCAGGAAAGCTGAAGAAGCCGCCAAGGTGTCCCGTTCCCGTCCTACGAGAAATGCGTCACACCCTGTGGCAGGCCAAGGCAAAGGCAGACGCTGAAGCTGAGAGGGCGAAAGCAGTAAGACATTCATGCTTTGTGATGGTTTTGTGATGGAATGTAAAGAAGGCTTCCGAAGGAAAGAAGAAGAAGAAGAAGAACAAGAAGCCTAAGGTGCCCTTCAACTCATATTCTTGTTTCAATCTAGTTGCCGCTTTCTTCATTTCCCTCATTGTCAACCAACCTCCATGCCATCACGGAACACTTCCTTTTCTTCCTCCTCTGATGTTCTTTCTTTCTTTCTTTCTTTCTTTCTTTCATAACCTTCATCTTCACCATCTCTTCTTCTTCCTCTCTCTTCATTCCCGTCCTCTGCTCCTCCTCTGCACCTCCTTCTCTCCTCCTGCTCTCTTCTCATTCTTCTCTCCTCTTCCTCCACCAAGGACTCCGACCAGTCGCATTCCTTCATGGACGAAGAGGTCCTGCTGTGAGTATGGGAACTTTTTGCGCGTCGTCAGGAACTTTTCGTAGTACTTCTATTAAAGCATCAAGAACTTTTCGAATATTTGGAATTGTGGGGTTCTAGATTGGGGTACCCACCCCCTGACCTCTTCACATCGACAAAGTGGGGAGGGGTGGGAGGACCAGTCGGTCAGCAATGTTGAGCTCGTTTGGCGCCATACCGGCAGGTGCGCGCCACCAATGCTGCTTCCTGTCTCTTCTTCCCCCATGCACTCGTCCTCGTCCTCGTCCTCGTCCTCGTCCTCGTCCTCGTCCTTGTCGTTGACCTCGTTCGTTCCTGATTTACCGTGTTTAAATATGTTTGCCTTTGTGATCCCAACATGGATAATTGGCCTCTCTGCTCTTCTTTGTCTGACATCCGAGCAAAAGTTTCGTAAGGATCCTCGTGGAGCTTGCAACTCACCTGGCATCGTTTCGCTACCATGGGATCCACATCGAAGCAGATATTGGCAAGTATCGGCTTCAATGACGCAGTTGTTCTGCTCCTGGGATTCTTCTCTTTGTTTGCATTCTCAAGATATAATGTGCATTGGTCATGGACGGTTCTTGCAACTCTCATGATTCTTCCTGGAATCATGGGAGTTCTGCCGAAACTGCGAGTCATTGCCATTCTCAACAAACGAAGACAAGAAAGAAGAGCGAAGGAGCAAGCAGAGAAGGTGATCACAACGATTTCCAACATTCATGACCCGCTCCTCAGATCAGCGCTGGGATCAAATCTCCGCCCAACGACACTTTCCGCAGGCTGAACGCCGTCGTAGTTCCGCCGATCAACATTCCTCACTTGAACCTGGGCCCTTTCTCTGCAAGGATCTCGAGATGGACTTCAGGGCTGAGGAGACCACGTGAGACTTGCATGCTGCCGTCTGCAAGCTGATCAACATGGCGAGCAGACCCCATCTCAGAACCCTCCTCCCCCTCTGCGCTGAGCCCTGTAAGCGCGCACGACTTTGAGAGGAGGCTGTGGGAGAGGCTTCATTTCTCCGGCAACAAGTACGAGTTCTTCTCTTCCACTAAGGTGCGTGCCGATCAAACATCTCTCTCGTTCACCTCCTGGTCAGTTTGCTGGTTGTCTCCGCGAAGATGAGTGCGACGAGCTGTTCAACCTGTGTACGTGGAGCTCGGTTGAAGCTGGAGAGCTTCTGTTTGCAGTGGGCGACAGGCGAGGCATCTTTCGTCACCCGCAGCCTCTGACGTGTTTGCATGTAGTACGGAGAGCGGACTTGTCATGGTTGTTGACGGATATCTTGGAGTCTACCACAAGGAGGATGAGACCGGTAAGGCTGATCGCGACCATTATGCTTTCATAACACGAATTGTTGCAGAAGAAGAGTTTCTCAACTACAAGTTGTCTCAGGGAGAAAGCATCGGAGATCTTGAGCTCATGTGAGGTAAGGTTTCAGACATTCCGGACCCTCACTCCTCAGCTCCGCAGCTACATGTCGGACGTTCGGACATGTTCCGTTCGAGCGCTAACCAGTGCAACGATCTTGAGGATTTCACAAAACGACTTCAAGACGTTCTGCACCAAGGTGAAGCTGTGCGATTTCTCAACTTCTTTTCACTGTCAACATGTCAGCATCCGGATGCTCTCCTCCTGTTTCTCAGGCTCGCACTTGGGCGCCTACATCGCGTGTCCTTCTTCGTGATGGCTGAGTTCCTGGAGATGTCCTCCCTCAACTCCAACGTCGATGCTGTAACGCTCGAAGACGAAGAGTCCAACATGGTGCCCTTGCTTCTTCCTTCCTGTTGCTGGTAGCTTGTCATACATGTGTGCAGTTGCAGAGCGCCTTCAGCTCGACGTATCAAGAGCTTGTGCTTGAGGTGTCTGAGGGTTCGCAGCTCTTTGAAAGAGGACAAGCGTGTTCCAAGCTCTTCGTCCTCCTCGATGGTTCCGTCGAGATCACAACAGAGGTGAAGGTTGCTTCCTTCCAAGCTCCATGCATCATCGGAGCACGGAACTTCTGGACAGCCGAGAGGCATCAGGAGACTGCGACCGCTATATCTCGTTGCCGGATCGCGAGTTTGACGATGGAGGAGCTGATGAGGATGGTGAGACAAGTGAGCGACATGTCGACTCTGATCCTTTCGGCTCGCAGGCTTCTATCGACGGCAAGACGTTTGTCGAGTTTGTGCTCGTGGCTGCCGGGGCCATCTTCCCAGTCATCCGCGACTTTCTCAGCATGGGCTTGAGCAGGCACTGGGTCAACGTGGGAGACTTCATCTTCAGGGAGGGAGACCAGGTGATCGACGGGCTCTACATCCTCATCACTGGACGAGTCAAGCTCAAGAGCAGGAGTTCGGAGGCCGTGATCGAGCTTGGGCGAGGTGACATGCTGGGCGAGGAGGCATTCCTAGACTCTCAGGACAACTTGAGAAGCATGAGCGCGGTGTGCATGCGAGATTGTGAGCTCGTGAAGATCTCCCCCAAGAACTTCGAGCTGATCTGCAAGCGCGTTCCTAGTGTGGCCGTCCGGCTGCTGCGTTCCATTGCCAAGCGCCACATTCTAGGGAGAGGGAGTCATGCAAGCGGAAGGGCGCAGCAGGAGCAGCGCATTGCGGGCCAGAGTTTGACTGCGAATCTCGCCACGATAGCGCTGCTGGCAGCCAACAGGGAGAGTGCGGAGCATCTTGACAAGGTGGTATCGTCGTTGGAGGAGCAGCTCTCTCGGTATGGATCTGTGCTAGTTCTGGACGTGGACAAGATTGAGACGATACTCGGGGTAGACACAATCAGTCGCCTCCACCTCGCCTTCTATCGCACCCGTGTTTCTTCTTGGATCGTGCAGCAGGAGGAGGACCACAGGTTCGTGATTCTCAAGGGCAGCCTCAGCAACCCCGCATGGGATCAGGTTTGCGTGAGCCAGGCAGACTGCGTCCTCCTCGTCGCCCTCCATAGCTCACTTCCCACGATTCTCGAGCACGAGCGAGTCTGCGTGTGGAATGGCGAGAATGGATGCGTCAGGTCGTATGACGAGACTATTCTGGATGTGAGAAGGGAACTTGTGCTGCTCCATGAGAACCTGGCAGGCAAGACACTTCCTCCTAAGATCACGAGGATGTGGTTGGAGGGCAGGCCCGGCTTGACGCTCCATCATCACATTCGGCTTGACGTGCAGGCAGACATGGAAAGGCTGGGGAGATATCTTGCTGGTCGAGCAGTTGGCCTTGTGCTGGGAGGTGGAGGAGCGAGGGGTCTCGCGCATCTTGGAGTCCTCCGGGCCATGGAGGAGCTGAAAGTTCCTGTTGACTTCATAGGGGGAACGAGCCAAGGCGCCTTCATGGCAGCTCTCTATGCGCAGCATCAGGACACTGCCAAGATGGATGAGCCTATCACCACGCTCTCGCAAGGGATCGGGAGTGTGACAAGTCTGATGAGAGACCTCACGCTCCCCCTGCTCTCCATCTTCTCGGGCAAAAGTTTCTCCAAGACGATACGCGAGGGACTGGGGGAAGGAGACATCAGGGACACTTGGATCAACTTCTTCTGCATCTCGACCTGCATCAATGCAGACGACCCACTAGGTTACATGCGGGTCCATAAGAAGGGGAAGCTATGGCGATACGTGCGAGCGAGCATGACGCTAATCGGCTTTCTTCCTCCCGTGTGGGACCGCGGAGACCTCCTCGTGGATGGGGGGTATGTGAACAACCTGCCGGCAGACATCATGACGCAGTACGGAGTTGACACGATCATCGGAGTGGACGTGGAGGACAAGGAGAACATCCTGAGAGGTGAAGTGCTGACGCCCCTGGACGACCATGTCAGCGGGTGGTACGTGCTGTGGAGGTACGTGCTCGAGATGCTGGGCGTCGGAGGGAGTCGACACATCTGTCGGCATCGGGACATCACGACAGCTCTTTGCTACATCACGCATATGACGCAGTTCCCTCGAGCAAAGGCGATCCTGGACCTCAAGCTCGAGCCGCCCTGTGCAGACATCGGGTTGCTCGACTATCACAAGAAGGACGAGATCGTGGAGCGAGCCTACAAGTACGCATACGAGGAGCTGAAGAAGTTCGTCCAGCGAGGAGACGCGTCATGCCGCAGAGACTCTCTCGGTCTCGCCAAGTCGACGACGATGCCGATGATGGGCATCGATCGAGTGCCGTCGATCCCTTGGAAGGAGGCAGCCACATCGGGCCCCAGCGACAAGTCAGTTGCCGGCCCGATGGAGGATGGGGCGAAGGCCTCGGTGGAGCTGTTGAGCGAAGCCTTCTCGCGCACTCCCGTGCTGAGGAAGCGACGAGAGGGAGACTGGAAAGAGGAAGATTGACAAACTCACTCCACATGCCGTTTTCGATTTTTCTTGTTCAGTTTTTGGCTTCTCTTTCAGTTTTGTCTTTCCTTCTGCGCGTATGAGAGAATGAAGTAAATGATTGCACTGCTATGACAAGGTTAGAATTTCATTATTGATACAGGAAGATAGATAGCTTTCATCTGCTCAAGAATGAACATGGGTGCTTGAACGAAGTACGCAAGTCTTCTGAAGTCGAGAAGGGGGGAAAGAAATCGAAGAGACAAAGAAGAGCAGCAGCAGCAGCAGCAGCAGCAGCAGCAGCAGCAGCAGCAGCAGGGACAGCAGGAGCAGCAGCAGCAGCCGAGGCAGGGGCAGCAGGAGCAGGAGGAGGAAGCGGAGGCGGAGGTACAAGGTGGGAGTATTAGGATCAAGTACCCCTTGTTTCCTCTACCAAAATGTGGGTAGGGTGTTCAAGCCCTTCAAATTTTCAAATGTTTGGCGGGAATAGAGGGGTGGGGGTAGTCTAGGAGGGGTTCAATTTGTATTGATTTGAGGGGTAGGGTTCCTGAGGAGGGGTGGACAATCCCACCAAGTTCGAAGTTTGGGGGGTGGGAACAGCGAGGAGGAGGCGGCATGGAGGCGCCGACAACTCCCAAGTTTCTGCTGCAAATCATGCGGCTGCTGAGGAGAAAAGAGACGCTGATAGAGCAGGTAAAGGAGGGGAGAGAGAGGGGAGAGAGAGGGGAGAGAGAGAAGGGAGAGAGAGAAGGGAGAGAGAGAAGGGAGAGAGTGAGGAGAGAGAGAGAGAAGATAGAAGGGAGACGGGAGAGAGGGAAGAGAAAAGGGAATGGGAGAAAAAACGAGAGGTAGGAGGGAGGAGAAGGAAGACAGAGAGAATGCGGACGAGATGAATTGTGATGTGATGTGATGTGATGTGATGTGATGTGATGTGATGTGATGTGACTAGGGTACAGACGGAGCGGGAGGGGCGTGAGAGGAGAGAAGAGGAGAGGGGATTTGAGAGGAGAGAAGAGTGCGAGGAAACAGGAGAGCGAGGATTCAGGGTAAGAGAATAGGGAGAAGAAAATTAAGGCGTGTGAGATCGACTTGAAGCGGAGTGTTGATGGGAAAAGCCGTGCACTTTGAACACACACACGATCACACGATTTCATCTCACAGGCCAGGGCTCATAATGACTCGATGCAAGCATTGCGCGATGGTGATACCGACATGGATGGCGAAAAGCAAGCTCGTAAAAACGAGAAAGCACATGAAATTCAAAAGGAGTATGCTTGGTGTATTGTGCAGGTGTTGTATACATCTTGATTGGAAGTGTGTCATCCGTGACGCTAACTTAGGTTGATCGGACCAACTTTCAACTGAGGAATGCGCTGTGGGGCGTAGCACTTGGCCTGTTGTTCTAGTAGCCTTCCTTTCTCTTGGTGAGCTGCTGCAGGTATGAGGGAAGCGAGAAGAACAATCTGACAGCCCCCCTGCTCCCTCCCGCTGCGGATTCAAACCATGTGGGAGACAAGAGACACGGAGCCAACGGCACGTTGCAGGTCAGCCCTAGTGACGCGCGAGACGTGGCTGAGTATGGTATGACGGGCAGCAATGCGAGCAGACAGCGAGCGCCTTGTTCCGAGGGGTCGTGATGAGCTCGGAATCACTGGACCAAGAGAATGAGTTGAGCCACGGCACTCAAGCCGCTCAGGTTCTCGCGCTCTCCCCTCAGGGCCTCCTGACCGCTGCAGCAGCCTTTGATCGAGAGCTGCCTGGCTATCCTACTGCTGTTGAGGAAGTACGAGGAGTATACAGCAGCCATGGCGGCAGGAACCAAGAGCGGAGACCTTCAGAGCAAGGAGCAATGGGATGCAAGCTTTAACGCTCTGCTCAATGAGATCCGACCGCAATCGACATGCAATGACGCTCTCTTCCAGGTGAAGACATGCCGGCCAACCTTGACTTGCTTCGACTTGCTTCCATTCTTGTCCTCACACCTTGTTGTAGGACATTGTACAGAACATCGAAACTCTGAAAGAATCCATAAACAACGAGTAGTCTCAGTGACGATCGTGTCGTGTGTCTTTATCTACAGTAGAATATTATTTACATCTGTCAAATGCTAGTCTGAGCTGTGAAAAACCCTCGTGTCCCGCATCCCATCCCTCCGAGGAGCTCGAGTATTCTCATCGTCCTCCTCTTCCATTCCACTCGATTTGAGCCGCTGAACTTGTTTATCGGGCATCTTGTCTAACTTGTTCTTCCCCAGCGTCAGAGTCTTGAGGCTGCTGAGGCTGAGGATGGCGGAAGGCGGCTCGGAGATCTGGTTGTCCCTCAGAGTCAGAACCTCGAGGTGAATCAGCCGAGAGACGGAGGAGGGGAGAGAGGAGAGCAGGTTGCCATGCAGCTTGAGGGACCTGAGCAATGTTAAGGCACCGATGCTCTCCGGGAGAGAAAGGATGCGGTTGCGCTGGAGTTCCAGAGAATGCAACGAAAGCAGACACCCCACAGTCGAGGGGACTGTTGACAGCTTGTTGTTTCCGATGTAGAGCTCCTCTAGCCGGACCATGTCGCCTATCGTCATCTTGATGTTTGCAATGAGGTTGTCATTCAGGTTCAGTTGCACCATGTTGGTGAGGTTGTAGACTTCCGGGAAGAAACAGATCTTGTTCATGCTCAAGTTCAAGATCTCCAGGCTCGTCAGCCCAGAGATCGCAGCCGGGACGAGAGTGATGGTGTTTCCTCCAGCAGAGAGGCAGCGGAGAGAGATGCAGTAACCGATGGCGTCAGGGATCTGGTTGAGGTTGCAGTCATCGAGGAAGAGCATGCTGAGCAGTCGGAGGTTGACGACTGAGCCAGGCAAGATGAAGATCTTGTCGTTCTGACTCACATTCAGCTCGCAAAGCCCCGACAGCTCGCACACGGCTTCAGGGAACTTCATGAGAGCGTTGCTGCGCAGGTACAGCTGTTGAAGGTGCTCCATGCCCTGCAGGTCGTCGGGCAAGAGCGAGACTTCATTCATCTCCATGTTGAGGTACCTCAGCTCGTTCAGCTTGTTCATCCATCTCGGGAACTCGCCGATCGAGTTCTGATCCAGCCACAGGTTCTGGAGCTTGTGCAGGGTCTTGACGCACAGGGGAAACTCAGTGAGCCTGTTCTCACCGAGGTCAAGGGACTGCAGGTTGACGAGAGTGCCGAGCTCGTTCGGAATGGCTTTGAGCTTGTTCGTTCGCAGGTTCAAGTCTTGAAGACCCACAAGGACGCCGAGCCACGTGCCAACCTGACGGCATTGATTGCGACTGAAGTTGAACCTGGTCAGATTTGAGCACTTGGCAATGACAGCAGGAATTTGCTGCAGATCTTGTCCTTGGAGATTGAGAAAGTTTGTCAGGGTGCTGGACTGCAACCTTGAAAGGAATTGGAGAATTTCAGGGACTGTGAACTTGTCTATCACCTCCTGCATCGTGTCTTTGAAATCGTTGTCGTCAAGAGCAAGTTCAACAAGCTGAGTCATCGCACACATCTCGAACGGAAGTTCCTTCAAACGATTCATGCTCAGCTTCAAAGATTGTATCGATGTCGAGCCAGATAGGGTAGCATTGAGGTTTTGCAGGCGATTATTCGTGCAGTCAAGATGTGTCAACCTGTAGTTCTTGTGGATTGACCCTGGGAGATGTTCAAGTTTGTTCGCCTCCACTACCAAGATTTCAAGATTTCGCAATAGGAAGATGTCTTCAGGCAGAGATTTGATACGATTCCGTGTGAGATTGAGCTCCTTGATTGCAGTCAGGGTCAAAACATTCTCATTCAAAATCTCAATCTTGTTGTTCATCACGTTGTAGGAGATCAAGTTGCGATAGGGAGCGAACGGGCAGCTTGAGAGGCCGTATCCGATCATCTCCAGCCTTCTTGTCGACTTTGACTTGTTGACGTCTTCGATCCACCTGAGCATTTGTTTGATCCCTCGTTCGCAGACAACCGCGGGAATGTCTCGTCGCTCGTCGTCTTGGACGTGAATGTGCCTCAGGCTTGTCATCGTTGTGAACCACAAGGGGAGATGTCCGCTGTCGCTCAGGGTCAGCGCCTCACTCACCCACAGCTCCTTCAGCTTCCGCAGGCTTGTCAGGGTGTTGGGCACCTCGTGAAACACGTTGTTCCCTATGGAGAACTTGATAAGCTTCTTGAGGGACGAGATCGCATCGGGCAAGGCACGCAAGTAGTTGTGAGAGACGTACAGTTCTGCTAGCCTCTGATATGAGCTGACAGCTCCTGACAGATAGATGAGCTTGTTATGATTGAGGGCTAGTTGCTGCAAGTTTGTAAGATCAAAGAACTCTGAAGGTAACTCCTCGATCTGATTGTGAGACACGTCGAGGCATGTCAGAGAAGTGAGCGCCCCGATGGCAGCATGCAGGAAGGTCAGCCGGTTGAAGTCAAGCTTCAGTGTCGTGAGATGCACCAACTTTCCTATCTGAGCAGGGATTTCATCTATCTTGTTGAAGGAGAGGACCATCTCTTTCATCCCAAGCAGATTCCCGATGTACGGCACGAGCTTTTCCATGTCGTTCCTTGAAAAGTCAAGTGAATACAGATTGCCAACCTTGCAAACTGACTTGGGAAAGACAGAGACTGCGTTGCCGCTCATGTTCAAAGTCTCCAGTTGCATCAACCAAGATATTGAAGATGGGAAATAGATTATTTCGTTCTTTTGCAAGATTAATGACTTCATTGCAGTCATCATCCCGATTTGAGATGGTATTGTGACAATGTTGTTGAATCCGATACCAAGCAAGGTCAGCGAGGTCAGGCAAGAGAACTCTCTTGGAATCTCTTTGATCAAGTTGTTGTCTGCAACGATTTCAAGCAGCGCCGTGCAAGATCCCATTTCACTTGGCAGAGAGACGAGCGCATTGAAACTCAACTTGCAGACTTCAAGCTGCGCGAGTCGTCCAACAGCAGCAGGGAGCAGGCGAAGTTTGTTTTGAGACAGGATGAGTGTGCGCAACATAGGCGGGAAGTCAAAACCTTCTGGAAATGTTCTGATCTGATTCGAGGAGAGATCCAACTCCAGCAGGGCCTGGAGTCTGATCCATGAAGTCAAGATGTCTCGAATATTGTTCTTTGAGCATGAGAACTTGACGAGGGAATCAAAGTTCTCTATGCTCTTGTCGATCTTCTCTAGCTGATTGTTGTCCAAACACACAGTCTTCAACGGCTGCCGTGAAGGTGAATCAGGCGATTTATCTTCCTGCCAGATGTCTTCGGGGATACGGTTGAGTTCAAGATCACGAAGCATCATCTCTCCAGTCTTGCGCCCGTTCAGAAGCTTCACGACATATTCCACCTGCAAGTTGACTTCTCTACTCGCTGTATTTTGAAAGAAATCTCCGAGAAACGTTTCACTGACATTGAACACGTCGAGCTGTGTGAGGTCTGTCATGGCCGCAGGAACATCTGCAAGAGGATTGTTGCTCACGTTGAGGTAGTTGAGCTTCTTGAGAGTAGCCAAGGCTTCGGGCAGTGATGACAATTTGTTGAAACTGCCGTCAAAAAGCTGAAGATTGACTAGCTGAGAAATTGCGTCAGGGAGCTCTGCGATCTCATTCCGTGACACGTCGATCCCCGTGCAGATGTCAACGAAGTTGACACACCAGGGAGACGGGAAGTAGTCGAGATATTTCCATCCGAACTTGACCTCATGCATGTCAAGTTTCTTGGTCCGAACAAGCCTCTCCTCTCTCATGAGATAATCTTGAATCGATTTCAGCCCGAGGTCTACCACATGTGGAGGCGGATCTTCAAGGGGATTGTACTGAACATTGAGAACTTCAAGATCTGTGAGCAAAGCAATGGAGTAATGTAAGCTGGTCAACGAATTGCTTTGTAGGTATAGTTCAGCTAAACCTTCAAACTTTCCCATGTGTGGAAGGATTTCAAGCACGTTTCTTGAAAGATCGAGGGTTTCTAGATCAATGAATGCGGTGATGATTTGAGGGATCTCTCGCAGTTTGTTGTTTGCCAGACTGAGATGCAACAGGTCTGTCATCGTTGTGATTTCTTTAGGGAAAAACTTCAGCCCGAGGTTGGAGAGGTCTAAACGTTTCGTTCTGTCGGAGTTGATGATCTTCTTGTAATATTGCACTAGCGTCTCATTGCTCCTCATGATCACTTCCTTGGGCGGTGTCATGGTCATTCTCATGTTCTGAGCATTCAGTTTCTTCAGGACCGTGAGGTGCGAGACTTCAACCTTGAACGTCTCACACAATTTCAACTTCTTCAGCTTGTCTGGTAATGTCTTGACAGGGTTAGCGTGTAGCAGCAACGTGTTGAGCTGTGTCAGACCGACGATGGAGTTTGGAACGTCGGTAATGCGGTTGTTGGATAGGTCGAGGTATGTGAGGGACTGGCACCCTCCTGAAAACTCACTCGTCAACGCAATAAAAAAATTGCTATCAGTTCCTCCAATAGATTTCGGAATGGTCGAAATTTTGTTCTGTCCCAGGTCCAAAAATCTCAAATCACTCAATCGTGTAAAACTATCTGGTAACGTCTCAATGTTGTTGAATCTCAAGTTCAGAGTTTGCAAGCAATACATGTTTCCAATATTAGCCGGGAGCAATGCAAGACGATTTTTAGAAATTGACAGCTCTGTTATCCTGGTTTGTTGACAAATTGCAGCTGGAAGGCTTGGTAGTTGATTGTTATCGAGTCGAAAAACCTCCATCAGCCCTATCTGTGACACATGGTCTTCCATATGCATGATCTTGTTGAAACTTAAATCCAGAACTTTCAATGTTTGTATGCTTGTGAGGTGTAGCGGTAAAGAAACAATCTGAAAATCACTCAGATGAAATATTTTCTTCTGAAGTCCTTCTCTGATTCTGTCGAGGTAGCTGACGGCAACCTTGGTGCCTTGAGTGGAGATGTCCTTGGGAGGTAGGATCAAATCATTCCAATCAAACTCCAGCACCCGGATCCTCCAGAACTCTTTCAAATTGAGCGGGAGAGTTTTCAGAGGGTTGCCTCTTATCTTCAACTCTGTCACAGATGTCCAGGAAGCAAACACTTGCGGGATTGTCTCAAGCAGATTGTTCTCCATGTGCAGGACCTTCAAAGACTGCATCCGGGCAAACACTTGAGGGATGTTTGAGATTTGGTTGTTGCACAGAGAGACATGAGTCAAAGAGTTGTTGGAGGAGATTGGTTGAGGTATCGTCTTGAACTTGTTGCTATCCGCACTGAAAAGCTGAAGCGATGCACATTTGCGAATCGACTGTGGAAATGAATTCAATCGATTTCTGTTCGCGGAGAAATACTTGAGAGCTTTGAAGTTACCAAACCTGAGAGGAATCGAAGATATCCTGTTATCGTCAAGGTACAAGGCTTCAAGTTTTAGCAAGGAACAAACCTCATCAGGCAGCACAGAGATATCATTTTCTGACAGATCGAGAGCGATCAGGTTAGTCAGTGCATGTATTGAAGCCGGGACACTTGCGAGATTGTTTCTTGTTAGGGAGATGGATTTGAGTTCTCCAGACAAGTTTCCGAGCTCATGGGTAGTGATCTCTGGAGGCAGGTAGTGCAGGTGATAATCTTCGAGCTCAATGGACATGGTTGACTTGGCTTCTTCGTATCGCTTCAAGTAGTCCAGCAGGTAAGAAATCCCCTTCTTTGAGATGAATTTTGAAACCTCAAAAGGAGGAGACGCAATCTTCTCTTCCCAGTCCGCATTGAACGTCGTCAGATTCCTCAGTCTGCAGAATGAGAACGGAATGCCTTCAATCTCGTTCTCAACGATGGAAAGAAAAGTCAGCGATGTACATTGGCCGAGTTGAGCCGGGAGGCTTGAGAGGCGATTTCTATCGAGGATTAAGGACTGGAGCTGAGACAGGTGCATTATCGACTCGGGTATGGAAACCAGGCTGTTGTCACAAATAGAAAGACTTTTCAACAAGACCAGAGCTCCAAAGTCAGGCACAATCTTCTCGATAGTTTGCTTCATGATATTCTGAACCTCTCGAGCCATCTCAGAGGTTTCGTTGTTGACGCGATAGCTGTCAGGTGGCAAATGTGTCAGCAGATTCTTGTCCAGCCTGAGGCTTTCAAGGACGGAGATGGTACAGATCTCCTCAGGCAGCTCTGACAGCTTGCCCTCGGTCAAATCCAACTCGCCGGTGTCAAGAGAGCTCAGGAGCTTCTTACAGTAGTCTCTCATCGAGGCGAGGCCTTCCCTCGTGATCGACCTGGGAGGGCTCTGCACGCAGTTCTCCTCGAAGACGAAACTCTCAAGTTGGTCGAAATGTGCAAACTCAACAGGAAAGTGAGTGAAGCGACTCTCTTCACATGATAGTCTACGTAACTGTTTCATCTGACAAAGCGCCGCCGGGAATCTTTGAACGAAAGGGTTCTTGCTGACATCGAGGTCTTCCATTGTCGTAAGCGCCCCAAGATAATCTGGAATACAGGCCAGGTAATTCTGATCAAGGTGTAAAAGTTTAAGCTGTGCAAGGTTTGTAATCGAGGAACTGATTTCCTTGATTTTGTTGTCTTTCAGGATGAGAACAATGAGTTTGACAAGTGTTGATACGCAATCAGGAATCTGTTGTAGTCGATTAGATGTAACAACCAATTTGACGATCAAGCTACATTGTCCCAATGATTCTGGAAGACTTTTCAAAGAGTTCTGTTCGACGACAAGCTCTTTCAAGGCTGTTATGGATCCTACGGTATTGGGAAGAAAATGCAAAGAGTTCTGACTTATGTTGAGCACTGCGAGGTCATGCATTTCGCAGACATCAGGAGGAAGTTCGCTCAGAGAGAACTGCTCTAAGTAGAGCTCGTGCTTGATTTCTCCTTCCATCAGTTTTGCAAAGAAGCTTCTGATGTCCCTGATGGAGTTGGTAGCAAGAACTTGCGGAGGTGATATCAGCGCACAGTTCTTCACGCTCAAATCCACCAGAGGTTGAATGTTGACCAGCGACTTGGGAAGCCTTCTCAGGCGGAAGTTGTCATCCAGGTTGAGTGAGGTCAAGGACTGCATCAGATCAAAGTAGCTCGCAATCTCCAGAAACCGATTGCCCTGCAAGGAGAGCTTGGTCAGGGACGAGCAGCTCTTGCAGACTGACTCAGGCATCTCATCGATGTAGTTGTGGCTCAGATTCAACTCTCTCAGGTCCCGCAGATCTCGAATCTCCAGCGGCACATGCAGCAGGCCATAAGAGCTGAAGTCCAGCACGTGCGTCACCGCAGCTCTAGACAGGGTTCGCAGGTGCTCCATGACGCAAGGGATTCCCTTTCGAACGATCTCGTTGCAGGGGACTCTCAGTGAATCGCATTCCAGCGACAGGATCTTGAGGTGGGTGATAGCCCCGAGGTACAGGGGCAACTCTTCGAGGCCATAGTTCTTGGAGAGATCAAGCGAGGTCATGCTTGACATTTCTCCGATTTCAAATGGGATTGTTTGTATCATGTTGTTTGAGAAGTCAGCTTTCTCAACTCCTGTCATACCGCAAGCAAACAAGGGAAAGCGTCTGAACTTGTTCTGTTGCATCAGTAGAAGCTTGACATGCTTCATGTTTGCGAATGAAGGAGGAACAGTGTCGAGTTCGTTGTCGTGAAGGCGGAGATCTGTGATCGAAGACATCTCCCCGAAACGATTGGGCAGCCGCTTCAGATTGTTGTTGTCAGCATAGAAATGCACAACTTTTGTGAGGTTTCCTATTGTATCAGGCAAAAACTCTAGATTGTTGTGCCGAATCGAAAAATATTTCAAGTTGTGGAGATGTCCGAGTTCATCTGGAAGGTACTTGAGATGATTGTTTTCAACATTTAGATCCACGATCTTGCTCAGATGTGAGATTGAATCTGACATGAGAAACATTTGATTGTTGCTGACTTGTAAGCTCGTCAGGTTCACCAGTTGACTCAGTTCCGAGTGCATGTATCTGATCTCATTGTTTCCAAGATCAAGAGAAGTCAACGTTGTCACGTAGCAAAGCTCAAGAGGCAGGTGGTCCAACTCTCTTGCGTTGAGATCGCCATAACAAGACTCTCGCATCTGGCACAAACTCTGAAGCCATCGGAGCACATTCTCTGAACCGAGGCTGCAAACTGAAGGCGCAGGAATCTTCAACCTCTCTAAGTCAATGTCAAATTCAGACAGACTTGTCAGATATCCCATGTCCGTTGGGACCGTCTGCCAGAAGTGTTGAGAAAGTGCACAAGGCGAAAGCAAGGGAATACCTCGATGGGGTTGCTGGAAAGCCTGAGCTTCTTCAAACAGGTTAGGTTACCCATCTCGGGGTGTAAGACGCGGATGTCATTGTCTCTGAGATCCAACACTGTCAGGCTTGAGAATCGCTTCATCATGTCGAGAGGAATCTCTGTCAGACGGTGACCAGTGAGCTCTAGCACCCGCAAGTCTGCGATGATGCTGATGCACTTGGGATACTCTCGGATCGGAATGTCGAACAGATCCTTCGACAGCTTCAGAATTTTGAATGTGTTTGCACTGTTGCAACATGTCAGAAACAACAAGTGACAGTCTGCCCATTACTTGTCCAATCGACGCAGGTACGTTCTGATCTTCTTCCATTTCTCTGCTTTGGGCGTCCCACTCACCACTGCAGAGATGTCTTCGTCGTCTTCAGATGGAATCTTGTTCTCATCGTAGGAAAAGGCTGTCAATGAAGTCAGCCGCCCGAATTCCCATGGCAGGCAGGTGAGCTGGTTTTTCTCCAAGGACATGTGCTCCAGTCTATGAAGCATCCCGATGGTCCTCGGCAAGAACTCGATGCGGTTGTCATGAGCCCAGAAGCGCTGGAGGGAAGCGCACAAGCCGATCTCTTCAGGAAGAGATCGGAGCCTGTTTCCATTCACCTTGATCACCTGAACATTAGTGAATGTCCCGATGAGGGGGTCGACGTATTCCAGCAGGTTGTTGTTGATCCAGAGCAAGGAGATGCTTGTCAAATCCCAGAGACCGGAAGGAATCTCCTTGATAGGCAAGTTGATGATCTCGCATTCTCCTGTCTTTCTAGCAATTTCAATCCTCGCTTCTAACTTCTTGCTTAGTTCAACACCAATCCCTTCTTTCTGCTGATTCTTCTTGTTCATGGTTCATGCTGGTCAAGTAACCGCTCGCATCAGTGCTCTATCTCTCAGCATGGCATTCTCAGTTGACATACTTTACATCTGTTCTTCGCCTGCAGCATCCGCCTGCCTTTCAAGTTTCCATCTGCTCGTCCTTGGCGCCGTTGCTATCGCTACCTCATGGCGTTCACGGTTCCTTCCGTTACAAACCGTTGGAAGTAAACCGGTGGACGGGATGCGACTAAACGCGATCGAGAATGGCGTGGATTTGAGGAGGCGAGGAAAAAAGCGAAGAAGAATGTGCGGATGAGAGAGATAGAAGGAATGAAAGAGGCATGGAGACGATCATGGGCGAACAAGCATGCGATTGAGTTATGAAAGACTCATCAGTCAAAATTATGATTGATATTGAAGCAGAGAAGCAGGGGGGTGTATGATGCTTTGATAGAGAGAAGTTATGAAAAGCCAACAGACTGCAGCGCTCTGGCTTGTGCTTTCCGGTGTGTTGTGTGTCTGCAATGGTGAGCATTGGTGGCCAAATCGGGCAACGGGGAGCAGAAGATTGTTGAATCGCCTTCGAGGAGGATTCTCGGACAGCGAGGAAAGCTTGGCAGAGGCAAACAAGCAGATTACAGCAGCGGTATTAGAGGAAATGAGGCAGTTGAACCGAAGCTCATGTGGAATTCCTATGGTATAAGTTCATCTGTCTTACTAAGATTTGAAAAATCGTGCCTGGGTACAGTTACGACCTGAGCCGAAACCGTTGGAAGGCGATATCAGGATCCCTGGAGATTTCAACGACATAGTCGAGGCTCTTGTTACTTGCAAGGTGAGCTGAAGGGAGCTCGGTATTCTTGCTGCTTAACATTCGGCAGAACGGGTCGAGTTTCTTCCTTGGAGAAGGGAAATACCACTGGGATGAATTGACTACGCCGAATGGAACGAGGCGGATAGGGCACGGTCTCATCTCCTCCTTCTCTTGGCCTTTGCGTCACACTGCTCAGACTTCAAGAACAAGAACGATGCTGCCGGTGGAACCATCTTCATCGCACACACTCTCCGACTCCGTGGACATCCGAAGGCTGAGCTCTGGTGAGAAAGGACAATCGTTTGCAAGGGGTTGGGATGACGTGATGTCTCAGGGGACATCTTGTCTTCGTCTCTGGGTCTTCAGGCATCTGCAAGTACGTCACGTTGGCAGCAGACTGCCGACAGTCGGACGCAGGACATCCCTCGGTTTTCATCTACGGCAGGTCAATTGATTCTTGTTGTCCTGCGCGTCAGTGTTTCTACAGGGCATGGCAGTTTCACGAGTGCGAAGTTCGTTCTGCTGGAGGTGCAGCCGTTGCACTGGCTGGAACAGGAGGGGCCCACATGGTTCGTCATTGTCTGCCAGGAAAAACCATGACGCACGTCTGCAGTACGAATGTGGCATAGGAGGAGTTGAATCATTTCCTACGACTCGGGCTCAGGTCGGCGTGTGGGTGCTTGAGAACTCAAGCTGCTGGCTCCACTCGTGCGCTGTGAGATCGAACCATCGCTCTGGGTAAGTCGCCACGTTCCTCGTCGACGATTTGACAATTTGCAGGGTCATTGCAGCGGGTCAAGCAATGCTGAAAGCGTATCAGTGCAGCTTTGCTTTCAATATGCAACACCTTCATCTGATTCAAGCGTGCAAAGTCGTTGGGCTGCTTCTTTATAGCCCTTGACAAGTCAGCAGGTCAAGCTTTATCGCTGCGAGCTGCACGATAGCCTGGATACAAGCTTCAAGATCGACCAAGACGAGGTGTCGACTCTCGACTACCCATGACCTGTCCTCACTTGCTGCAGGGTGTTCTGCTCCATCTATATTTCAATCTCATCCAGGGGAAGCTGTGGAACTCGAACTCGAGGTCGCGAGTAAATCCGTGCTCCAGAAGTTCCATTGAGCCTGTACCGCAGACCAGCAGGGCTGAAGGAGGTTCAGAACAAGTGCTTTCAAGGTAAGACGCGGGTGCTAACGCTGATCATGGGTAATCTTGCCCCCAGGGAGCTGGAGGGAGGACTTGTCTGTGCTCAACACCCATAGAAAGTTGCTAGGTGAGGGCGAAAACACATCGATATAGTACGATGATGCAGCACTGCAGACACAGTGATGGACGTCAGTGCAAGAAGCCACGAGCGTTCGAGTTTGTAAGTTTATATGAGAAGCCAGCAACTCGCATCAGATTTTCTCGAGCGGAGTGATGCCCAACAGACTCATTCCCTTCTTCATCACTGCTGCCACAACCTCACAGATCACCAAACGCTGTGACTGTAGGGGATCTCCGATGACGTGGCAGTCGCGGTAGAAGTCGTTGAACTTCTCTGCAGTGTCATAGAGGAACTCGCAGATGAGATGAGGCAGCAACGTGTCAGCAACGCGCTCCACGACCTCTGGGAACTTGAGGATGTGGAGGACGAGCTGATACTCCTTGGGATGCTGCACGCTAGGAAGGACGTTGGCAAGGTCCTGCAGCTTGACGCCAGCTCTAGCCTTGATGGACGTGATCCTTGCATACGAGTACATCAAGTAGACGGCTGTGTTGCCCTTGAGGTCCAACATCTTGTCATACGAGAACTGGTAGTCAGAGATCCGATGCTGCCTCAAGTCCGCGTACTTGACGCAACCGTAGCCGATCCTCCTGGACGCTTCCTCCAGGTCGCCCTCTGCCATCTGCGTGGTGGATCCTTCCGTGTTCATCCTCTCGCGCAGGTGGGTCAGGGATCTCGTCACGGCTTCGTCGAGCAGGTCCACGAGCTTCGTGACCTCCCCTGACCTCGTCTTGAACTTCTTCTTGTCATCGCCTGCCAGCATCTGTCAGAGACCCTGTGGAGTTGGAGACGGCAGATACCGAGGACAAGACCAAAGGGAACGTGGTCAAGGCGAGCTCCTCCTTCACACCATCCAGCCCTCTTGGCAGCATGGAAGATCATCTCGAAGTGCTCGCTCTGCCCCGCATCTGTCACGTAGATCACACGATCCTGCAACAAACTCTGTCATGTCAAGTGGATTAATCACTGCATACTCTTACCGCCTTCATTTCCTGCAACCGGTACTTGACCGCCGTCAAATCGGTACTATCGTAGCCGTACCTGCTCATTTCTTTTCAGCCCTTGTTTTCATTTCTCTCCTCTCGCTCACCCGCCATCAGACTTGACAGCCATCAGAGGAAACTGCTTCCCACACTGAATGATCTTCGCTCCATCACTTTCTTCCACCATCCCTTTCGCCGTGAGCTCCTTCACAACGTCGGGGATGCGCGAGTTGTAGAAACTCTCGCCCTGCCTACCGTCAACCGACTACAGTGGATCCGCCAAGGTCAACCTGCTCGACGAGTCCCGCACACTCAAGGCGGTCATAGACCATCTGGAACTGAATGCGCGAGACATCGCACAAGGCCTTCCAGCACTGAAGGGAGTACGGGTCCCCCGCCTGCCAGCTCTTCCGTTACCAACGTCAACTAAGACGCCGCGTCCACCTGAAGGGTGACAACCGACGTACGCGAAGCTTCTTTGAACTCTGCGTCTTCGTCGAATCGTTTCTTCGCCTCCTTATAGAACCTGAGCATCGGCAACTTTCAGTGGTCGCCAGTCACGTCGGGCGTTTCATCACGTGGTCAGATCACTGATGTTTGGCGGCTGCTCGTGGAAGTTGGGGTAGGCAGTCTGTCAGCCAGCATGAGCGCAAGTAGTTCACAACATGGAAGCATCAGTCTTGCGTCATACCCTGAGATGGTTGATCAGCATCCCGAACTGTGTACCCCAGTCTCCGACATGGTTGATGCGGTGGACCTGACGTCAGCCCTCTCAGCTCACCCCCACGTCCATCGCTCCTCTCACCCTGTGTCCGCAAAACTCCAGCACTCTGCAGATCGACTCCCCGATGATGGTTGATCGCAGATGTCCCTACTCCTCGTCATCCGCCGGCCACAAACGGGGACAGAGCTCTTACCACGTGCATTTCCTTGGCGATGTTGGGAGAGGAGAAGTCCACCACAACCTCTTGCGGCTGGCTGGCTGGAGGCTGCGGTCCTGTTTAACATAGTCTTAGCAGATGGTGCGAGCCTGTCAGGGGTGCCACCATTCTTGAGGATCTTGGCAAAAGACTCAGCGATGAAGGCGGGGTCCAAGAAGATGTTGATGAAGCCTTGAAGCCGAACTCAGAGGCAGCGCATGCAGTGAATGCTCACCTGGTCCTGCGATCTCAGTCTTCAGAAGCACTTTGTTCTTCGGTATGCATTCCACGATTCGCGCCGACACATCCCGGGGAGCCTTTGGCGCGTCAGCCACACCCTGCGTGGGGATAAGCGAAACCATTCGCACGGCCAAGGCATGAGAGACAACCTTGTCCTTGAGGATCTTGTGAATTGCCATGGCTGAGTTGCACTGATAGTCACCATGCTTGGCGTCGGAAGTGGCCTGAACTACAAGCCAGCGACTCTTTTCAAGGGACTCTGGTACGATGGGAAATGCTTGAGCGATGGCCTTTTCAAAGAGGAGGGTGACAGCGGAGATGAGTGTCGTCTCTTCTCCTGCTGCTGCCTGCACCTGTCGCTTGAGTGCCTGAAGCGCCTCCTCCACCTCCTCCAGCGCCTTCACGTTCCCCGTCAGACGCTTTCCCAAGTCCTCCATGCTCTCGTGTGCGGCTAAACCCCCACCCCACCTCTTCTTTCCCCACAATCGCAGCGCAATGGAGGGGTGTCATTATGGTCTCCCATCATCCGAGGATATCATGATGACTCATCGCCCGAGTCCGACAGAAGTTCCCGGAGGCTGCGGCCCGACCGGGTCACTGAGAGTTAAGTGATAATTACTGGTACCATCACGTGACTCGGACTCCCCGGTACATTGTCCGACAATCACTGAGGCAGACTTGGTATCATATTTGAGTAATAGTTTTCATTTTCAACGGCCTGCGATGGGCAAGTGGAGGACAAGGGACTGAAAGAGGTGAAGCTCGAGCATGGCAGAGAACGAGATGGAGGTCGCACAAACCCCAGAGCTTGATACCAGCAATGAAGTTGCAGCTGATGCAAACGAAGGAGATCACGGCGGGAGGAGGAGGAGGAGGTAAATCCGCTCCGATGTTATTCAAACGCTGAAAAAACGTCACTTGGTTGTCAGGCAAGCGGCATCAGATGCTCTGCCGCCCGTGAACGATCCTGCCGTTGAGAGCAGAAGGAGGCGCGGAGTCTTGAAAGCAAACAAGTAATGTTTGTTGGGTTGTCAAGCAAAAGCTGAGATTTCGCTACAGGGTTTTGCCAGAGGAAGAGGGGGCAGACAAGTCGAGGAGAAAGAGGAAAGTGAAGCTTGAAAGCAAGCAGACGCCTTCAGACACCAACGTTAATCCTCCTGTTGAAGAGGGAGAGCCTCAAAAGCCGGCCAATGGTAACGACATTTTGAAAGGAGTTGATGAGCATCAGGCCGAGGAAAAATGCCAGCAGGGAGATCCGCCGCAAGCATCGAACGAGTTCTGGGACTTGTGCATGGTGATCGATGTTGCAGCTCATGTCTCGACATTCGGCGGAGAACACACAGTCCAAGAAAAAATGGCTGAGGCCGAGAGAGAGATCAGTGGCTTCCTCCAGCTGCTACGCGAGGTCGGGGTCCAGCACACGGAGTATGAAGTGATCGACGAGCATCAAGGAGTGTGCGGACCTGTGATGATCCTTTGCACTGCCAGTCAGAGTGAATTCGAGGAAGAAGCAGAGATCATGACGCTGAGCAAGCCTCTCATCCTCATCCCGGAGGCTCAGGGTAAGTTTGGGAAGAGCGCGACGTACGGGAGGATTTGCGCCCGTTCAGCGTCGCGAGGAAGACAGCGTTCCACGAGTCGCCTTACCTGCGAGGAGATGACGTGGTCCCGAATGACTCGATGGAAGAGGTGAAGAGAGGAGGAGGAGGAGGAGGAGGAGGTGGTGGTGGTGGTGGAGAAAAGGTAATGAGAGAGGTGGAGAAAAGGTAATGAGAAGGGAAGGAGGGTGGGAAAGAGGGAGGGAAGGAGAGAGAGGAGGTAGTTCGGACATAGTGAAGTGAAGAGGATGAGAAGAAAGGAGAAGGGATGAAAGAATAGTATGCAATCACTGATTCTCTTGTCAGTCGGCTTACTCGCACAAGTACTTCAGTGCTTGCGAGCGGCAGTACCTCCTCGAGCACATGATCGAGTCCAAAATTCGTCTGGCCCTCCACGAGAAGATTCTTGCCCCTAAAACCGTCATCGACTTCTTCCCGCTGCATGAAGACGACGGGGAGAACAAGAACTATCGTGACTTGTCGTGGCTGCGTCAGAACTGGGCGATTCCCCTGCGAACCCAACGCTTGCTCGCTCCTCTCAAGGTGACCAGTTGCCTCCCGTTCTCCTCCAGCTGACGGGGAGCTCAAGATCTTGTCAAATCCGCACATCGGCATGGAAGAGCCGATCGAGGAGGTTCGAGACTATTTCGGCGATCAGATCGCCATGTACTTTGCCTTCCTCAGTTTCTACACGCGATGGCTTAGCTATCCTGCCATCGTGGGCCTTGCATTCCAGGTTGAAAAGCAGAGGGTAGAGAGGAACGCAGGGGGGAAGGGGGAAGGACTGGGAAGGGAGGGAGAGGAGGAGGAGGGCGGAGAGGGTACGGGCATGTCTGAGAGTGAACTAGATCTGGATCTCAGTATCGGGAACAGACAACTGGGCGCTTGTTGCCTACTGCGTGTTCATCACGTTCTGGGGATGTCTCATGATTAAGTACTGGGAGCGAAAGCAGGTTTGTCTGCTCGCTGCTCCTCTCCTCCGGCCTCTTTCCTTATCTCCGCCCTTCTTCGAAATTTAGTTTTTCCCCCCCCCCCCCCCTCTTCCTCCCTCCTCTCTCTTCTTCATAGTCTGTATTCTCAATGTACCCTGCTGATCTCTCACCAAGAGCTCCTATGCCTACTACTGGTCAACGAGTGACCTCGCCAACAGACCAAAGGTGATCGAAGCATATCCTTGTCACCATCAAATCCCTCCCCCCCCCCCCCTCCCCCGCACCCCCAGTGTTCCTTTGTTGTTCTCCCTTTCCTTACCTCCTTATCAGGTCCGGCGAGAATTCTTTGCGGCAATCGACAAGCTGCAAGGGCCCTCCGAAGAGAATCAAATCTTCTCCTCCAACCTCTCCCCACTCGAGGCGAGGGAGACTAGAGTTCTTCGGAGGAATAAGAAGACAGGACAGGTCCGCTCCTCCCTTCTCCTTTCCTCCTCTCCTTTCTCCTCTTCCCCTACATGACCTTCATGGTTCAGATGGAGTACAAGTATCCCAAGTGTCTGCGCCTGCAAGTGTACTTCCTTTCCTTCGGCTTTTCAATGACGGTATCATCTATGCTTCAGTCCATCATGAGCGAAGGGGAGGGCGAGGGTGAGGGTGGAAGAGGTGGAAGAGGGTGCGGAGAGGGAGGATGGAGGGAGGAAAGGGAAGGGGAAGAAGGCAGACGTTGAGGAGGAGAAGGAAGACTGAGATTCTTGGCAGCTGCTGGGTTGTGTGTGTATCTTCTTCATCTACTTCTACCTCATCAACGTCATTGCAAGCTACTGGGATTGTCAGAAAGGAGCTATCATCGGCGCCATCGTTCATTCATCTTTGATCATCATCACAAGCACCATCTATCGTAAAGTTGCCATCATCATCAACGACTGGGAAGTTCACCGCACCGACATCAAGTACGAGAACAGTCTGATCCTGAAGGTGCGTCTCCCCTCCCCTCCCCCTCCCCTCCCCTCCCCACCCGTATACTCATCTCTTCGCCTGCCTTCTTGTCTTCCCTTGTCTCCGCCCCCCACCCCCCTTTCCTCTCCTCTCACCTTCCTCAGCCCTTCCTCGAAAGTCTTCCTGCATCATCCCGATTTCTCTCATCCCGGGGCCTCCAGTCCGCTAACGCCATCACAGATCTTCCTGTTTGAGTTCTGCAACAACTTCCTCTCTATGATATGGATTGCTTTCTTCTCCCTCTACTTCTGTCAAGACATCCCGGCCATGCAGCAAACCCTCACAGGCATTAGCCCCGAAAACCAGTGCATCGACACTTCCACCATCAAGGTCCTCCTCTTCTTCTTCCTCCTTCTCCTCCTCCTCCTCCTTCTCCTTCGCCTCTTCCTCCAGCTCTTCCTCATCCTTCTTTTCCTCACTCTCTTAGCAGACATGCGGGAATGAGACGCGCAAGTCTCTTTTCAATCAGCTTCAGATCAAGCTCGGAACTCTCTTTATCACCAGAATGATCGTCGGCAACATTAGCGAGGTCGCTCGTCCTACCATCGCCTCCTCCTCCTCCCTCCCTCCCTCCCTCCCTCCCTCCCTCTGCCTCCTCACTCCATCAGCGTATCTCCTTGTCTCAGCTGACTCTGGTCTCAGTTGCTCCCGCACAGCTCCTTCTTCAAGCGCTGTATGTCTCTGTTTGACTGCAAGCGAGGCAAACGAAAGGAGGAGGAGGAGGCAGGCGCCAACCTTGAGGTTCGAGTGGACGCGCCTGGAAACAATGAGGTGGGGGGACTCTAAAACTTCGTCTCTTTCTCTCTTCCTCCTCCTCCATTTATTCTCCTCCTCCCTCTCTTCTCTTCTTTCATTTACAAATCTCCTTCAGCCGCTCACCAAGTCTCGAGCATGGTGGAGGAAGAAGAGTCTTGAAGAGATGGTTCTGTCCTCGGACCCTCTCCTCTCCTCTCTCATCTTGTCCTCACAGAATTTGGGTCTGTATGGTGATGGAGGTGACGCTTGCACGGTAGACGATTATTTGGAGATTGTTATCCAGTAAGATCCCCCCCCTTCCCCTCCTCCTCTCCTTCCTCCCGCTCTTCTCCTCTCCTTCCCCTCCCTCCTCCCCCTCCTCCCCCCCCCCTTCTTCTCCTTTTATCGGCCGGCGC